AATATTTATCATGATTACATTGGTCAACAATTTAATCTCATTACACTTAAATGACATTAGTGATACAAATCATCAACATGAAGTCATCAGATATTGGTTATTTCTCAGATTTACAACATAACTCTGAATTATTCTGTTCCAAACTTAGTTATATAGTTTATTCCCAGACTTAGAATACAACTCTAAACTCATCTTCGAGTTACGTTTATGAGTTATAAGAAATCAAAATTCTTGTGACTCAGAGTTATGCTCGTAGATACTTTATAGACTTAGAAGACAACTCTGAATTCATCTTATTCAGAATTAACTCCAGAGTTATTTTACAGTCTAACAATAGAATTCCGAATTCTTATGTTTCAGAGTTAATATTCTGAGTTTTATTTCAGAGTTAATTTCCAGAGTTTTTCTCATTTAATAAGAGCCAAGGACAATCATTATCAAAAGTTGGTTTATTTCTAAGACAACGGAAAATTTATACAAACTTGTAGCATTGGCTAATTTAGCATTAACTCTTGAAAAGAACTTCACACTTGTAGCCAGATTGGTCGTCTTGATTTAGAAGTCTTGCAACAGTAGATATTGTCCGTCGTGAACTCTGGAGGATTTCTTAGACCTTGTGTTTGTCAAGCCTGATTCCGTCCTTCATATAGAGCTTAACAGAGGTTCTGCACGTGCTATGCGGTCAATCTGAACCAGACTCCGTGTTTCATGTAGAGCTGCACAGAGGTTCTGCATTTAAGTCTTGAGAAAGATCTATGTCTCTTCACGTAATGCGTCGAGGCTTTGTCTCTTACTCCGAAGATGGCCTTAAGACTTGTAACTTTGAATAATTTTCGTCTTAATCTTTGAAAACTTTCTTTACGTTTGTGTCCTTGAATTCTGATTTCGTTCTTCATACAGAGCTTAACAGAGGTTCTACAGGTGCTACGGGGTCATTCTGACCTTGCCTCCGTCCTTCATACAGAGCTTCATAAAGGCTCTGTACTTGTCTTGAGTAAGAGTTCTGTCTCTCAACTCAGTATTATTTGCTGAAGCATTAACCAGATACCACATCACTCGCCACATCAACATGATAACCGATTAATGTTTCAACCGGTTACCCAAGTACTTAAATGTTTAAAACTTTACATCTTAGATGCCAAAATGAAAGTTTTTAAAATATGTTATCCAAAATAGGAATCAAGTTAAAGCACATTATTTTTTAATGCAATTTGTCATTATCTAAATGACAATTTTATCATTCATAATTGAGAGATTAATGAATTCTCTGTCTCATAATTAAGACTAGAGTTGAAAAGTAGACATTACTTTTTGAAAGTGAACACTTACTTTGAGACAAATTAAAATAGAAACATGAACACTTATTTTAAGACGGACGAAGTATTTGTTTTTGTTATTTGTAGACATCATTCGTCTTCTAACAATGAATTATTCTTGTATTAACAATCGGTTAATATCTTATCATATTATTTATAGACTGAGTTTCTATTTACCATATTTTTTGTATATATAATTAGTTACCGTGCGATTTAGACTTACACTTATTTATTTTTAATAAAAATCGGCAGAGACATCATCCTCCTTTTAAAAAGAAATAAACTTCATCATGAATCAGACAAACAATGCATACGTTATCCACACCCCTTTTGTTACTATTACTAATTTTATTTAATTTTACAACTTTATTCTTAAACAAATCTCTCTCTCTCTCTCTCTCTCTCTATATATATATATATATATATATATCAAAATTTCATTAATTAGATTTTATTAGTTTTTTTTCGAATTATTTGAATATATTTGTTGATGATTCTATTAACAACTAACACATATCTATATAGACAGTCTTCGAATCATTAATCAAGGTTGCATGGTTCCCACACTAGTTTGGAATAAAAACAACATTTAATTGGTGTTATAACTTAGTAATACTCACTCGGTTTGAAGATGGCATCTCGAAATAGTTGCTTAATTGTTATATCCATTTCACGACACTAATACTCAATTATCTTTATTCTTGTATGTGTTTAATTATTGATGGCGTGGCGTGGCGTGTACATACTAGCTATTTGGTGGATCAACATGAAATAAACGCCCATCCCATTAACTTCATTTTTCAAAAATTTACAACATTTCACACTTAGGAAAACCAACACAACTTCATAAAAAGTGTGTATATATTTCAACATCGTTTTTATAATGTACATAATATTTTTTATAAATTCGAGTAATCGTGAATCGAACCACAGAAAAAACCCTTATTTTATTACGGTTTGGTTTCAGATTTCCTTAATTTCAATTATTCGTTGTTGAAGTTTTCTACTCTAGTATGATTTGTTATCTTCAAATTGCTAACCAAAGTCTTGTGTGAGGTTTGATAAATTAACAAACAACCCCCTCACTTATACCCTTAACTATAATAGCTTTATAATTTTTACCCTTGCGTTTAGGTTTTTCTTTTTCTCACCTTTTAATTACACACAATCCAAACTAAAATTATTATATAAATCTATACAAGTAATAAATACTATACTTTTTTAAGCACTCTAATTATGCCTCCTTTAATCTATACTATCTTATAAATCAATTTATCAAAAGTCTTAAAAATAACTTTTAATGCAAAAAGTCTTAAAAATAACTCATAATACATTAACTACTACTACTATTACTTTATGCATTCARTCTTAAAATCTCTTAATCTACAATTAAAATAACATAGAGTGCAAGTTACTGATGCACATTATTACTTTTTCTTTTCATGTTCCTAAAATACTTTTGACACATTTCACTCATGCCTTCACCCTTTTATACCCTATGTCTTCTTCCCATCTCTTAATGTGAGATTCATCATGAGTTATTAAAAGTTCTCTCATTCATTTCTCATTCAATTGCTCTAGAACTGTCGGTCTCGCTTTCGATTTCTTGATTCTTTGCTCTTGGTGTAAATGAACATATTTGTGTAGTCGTTTAAATATATTGGATTTTAAACTGTCATACAATTTTTTTCATCGATAGACTGTAATTTGAACCATAACTCTTATTTATTCAAATTATATTAATATGTAAAGACCAAGTGTAACTTATGTCATCGTTAAATCTTATTTAATAAAACCAGTGAAACTTCAAAATCGTTAAATTCACGACTCCCGCCGAGTCCAAGTATAAAACATAAGTAATGGTAGATTAATTTTGATATTTGAATCAGTAATGCCATCATCATAAACCATAAAGCTAGCTAACAATTTTCGCTTGAATTTGAGGCAATCAAAACCATACGTGTTAGCCCACAATTCAATCACCAAGAATGCGACTTTGAACCAATCTTTTCTACTTATGTCAAGTTAGTAGCTATCAACTTTCGAAAAAAAGATATATATGATTGTTACTTCATCCTCATCATCATCATCATTCATGCTTTTATTTTATGTCCCCCCGACCCCATCCCCACCTCCACCTCTATGATGACCTACAAGTGTCATATAATCGACACCATGGACCATCCACCAAAGTAGAAGGTCTTCATATTCAATTGATCGACTCTAATTCAAACATCAAATGCATGCATGCTGCTATCTATTCATTAAATCATCTTTTCTTTTTCTCGTTCCAATTAGTTGAAAACGTTGTTCTCAAGAATTTCTTTTATTTTATCACGAATATAGTTTTTCTTTTCTTCCTTTTAGTTCATTGGCATGCACCAAAGATAAAGAAATACGATAATAGGACAAATCTCAAGTCGTTTTTGTAAAAGAGTTGGTATCAAATAAAAGAATTGGGGTGTCTAAATTTCATTCATCCCCTTCCTTTTTCTTTATTAAATTTTATTTATCATGTCAATTTTGTTTGACAAACTTGGCCCTAGTAACCTATACTACTTAATTAGGTGTCCCAAACGCATAAAATTGCCTACTGGAGGAAGGGGCCCTATCATCAACTTATGTACTTACGTTTTCGCAATATATATACACCGTTCGTGGATTTCTTTTTTCTAATTATATATATATATATATATATATATGTTTTTGCATATGAATTAAATGTCTACATGATAACTAATCACGGGTTGATATATGGATGGGAAGCTAGAAAATAGGGATAGATGGCTTAACGATTGCTTGCAACATATGAAATAGTCATTTGTTCTTAGGACAAACCAGAAATTGTGAGACAAGTTACGTAAGGAGAAGCAAATTCAAAAGCTGATAAGATGAGATTTCAACTCATGAAAAAGACTTGAAAAAAGAAGAATCTTGATTTAAAAGCCAAAGAAATTCCTACAGGTGGCATGTACGTGAAGCTAAATTTAGTTTCTTCTTCATTACGATTGAAATGGAAATTAAAGCAAAAAAATATCCTTTCATTTCTTCTTTTATTCGTGTTCATTTTTTAATTGGCTTGTAGCAATTATTTAATGTCACAAAGATATTTAATCATATATGATTAAATATATCCAATAGAGTATGCCATCTCATGTGCCTACAACTACCATGTCGTATTCACATAAACAAATTAGAAATTGATTAAAAATTAATTAATTACGTAATAAATTATTAGAGTTTGAGATTAAAAACATCGGATTCCTCTTATCTTTGATATTTTTAATAGAAATATCACCATCATGAATAGAAAAAATCATCGTCATCCCGGGACCAACAATAACGCTTGTTTTATTTTACGGGCGTGTAAGCTTTAAGGTTATGATTGTAGACGTATTGATTGTTTTATGTTAGGCTCATGCTATGATGGTGGTGGGATCCTCCTGCATAGAACCGTCCTTTTTAAATAATTTTGACCATCAATATATTTTATGTCATGTGGGGAAGGAAAGAAAGGAATTCTAACATCAAAATAAATTATATTTTTTAATGATATATATAGATATAGATATAGATATAGATATAGATATAGATATAGATATAGATATAGATATAGATATAGATATAGATATTTGTTTGTAATTTTGAGAAAGAGCAAAAGCATAATTTTTTTTAATCAAAGATAGGAGGGTAAGTAGCACACGCCACTGCAGGCCCCGTTGGTCTTTAACAATATTTATATCTTAACGTCCTACCTCTTTCAATTCTTATTTTAAAACACCAAAGATAAAAACCTCCATTACATCCTCACCTACTAGCTAGCTAAAAAACAAACCTTCAACTATCCATCCATCTTAACTGATTGGCTTAAGATCTACAGAGCATGAGAAAATGTTAGGAGATGCTCAAGTTTTGAAAAAGAAGAACAAGAACAAGAACAAGAACAACAACAACAACAACAACAACAACAACAGAAGATTTAGCGATGAACAGATTAAGTCACTTGAGTCGCTGTTCAAGATGGAGAACAAGTTGGAACCAAGGAAGAAGTTGGAGATGGCTAGAGAGCTGGGGTTACACCCTCGCCAAGTGGCTATATGGTTTCAAAACAGACGGGCTCGTTGGAAGTCCAAGCAAGTCGAGCAAGACTACACAACTCTCAAAGCTGATTATGACAGTTTAAGTGATCGTTTTGAGTCGTTAAAGAATGAAAAACATGCCTTGCTCCAACAGGTATATACACACACACACTAGCTAAGCTACCTCATTAGTTAAACTAATCATTCCATTCATATATATTAACTAATATGCATGACAGTTAAGAAATCTATGCAACCAGCTAAAAGAACCTCATGAAGGAAGCAAATTAGATTTGGAGAGCGGGTCTGAAAACGGAGATACAAATTTGGAGTTGAATAGCAGCAGACCATTGGAACAAGACATGGCTATATATTCAGACGAAGATGATCTCAGAAAACACAAGCAGAAACAAGAATTAGATGAAAACATAATGGAGATGGAAGAGGCACAAGAAATAGTGAGCAACTTTGACTTGGGTAGTCTTTTCGACCAGTTTTCATGTTCATCAAATTGGTGGGAACTTTAGTCGTCAAATTCGACCGATATATGTATGGTAGAAAAACATTTAAATTAAGTTGGTTTGATTGTAACAACCAGCCAACAACAAATGACTTATATCTATGTATGTATGTATATATTTCGTAGCTAGTTAGGTTTTATAATTATGGGTTGAAGGTGGTAATGTATATGGACCAAATATATGCGGTTTGAAGTAGGTACATTAATTCATTAGGATGTAGTTAGCTTGTAACTCACAATATATAATTTGTCATGGGATTCTTAATTATATATATATATATGTAATGTAACTATGTAAGTGGAGTTGAAGTTTGGCTATTTCCATTTGCTTTGTATTTCTGCATCTCACCTGTTCCCATTTCCATGTGCTAAGTTTTGTTAAAATTGAAAACCAATACCTGCCACACCATCATGCATCCAACCATTTGACGTGGTTATGTTTATAAGACTATCGAGGTCGTTTGTCAACATGTGACAGTTTGGCCGAGTGGTCTAAGGCGCCAGATTTAGGCTCTGGTCCGAAAGGGCGTGGGTTCAAATCCCACAGCTGTCATTTTTATTTTCCATTTTTTGAGTCTTCTGCCCCCCAATCCAAACAAACGGTGGTAAACTCCGATGGTGCTGGCCGCCGTATCAATGTCAACCACAACACCGTCTGCGCTGTTTACCCCTGCGGTTCTTTCCCCTATCAAGATTCTCAAAATCCCTCGCGTTCTCTGGCCATGGCAGAAGGTACCCAATTTCTCTTTATTATAAACCCTAACCACACAGATGACCCACCATTCCTTCCTCTTTCATAGGTGAAACTGGGGCCAATGACTGTATCTCCTATGGGTTTTGGAACCTGGGCATGGGGCAATCAGCTACTTTGGGGATATCAAGAATCTATGGATACTGAGCTTCAACAGATTTTTAACCTAGCTATTGATAATGGTATTAACCTCTTTGATACCGCCGATTCTTATGGGACTGGTAAATTAAATGGCCAGAGCGAGAAGCTTCTTGGAAGGTTCATTGGTGCATTTGAAGGTAAAACTCTATTACGTATGCCTAGGTTTACTCAAAATTGGTGTAGATTCACATACTATTGATTTCCCCTAGGACTGATGCATATGTTGAAAATGTTTTTTTTTCCTTCTTCGAGTTTGATTCATAGTTGACAGAATCTTCAGGACAGGCAAAAATTCGTGACAACGTTGTCATAGCCACAAAGTTTGCTGCATATCCATGGCGCCTCACCCCCAACCAATTTGTGAACGCGTGCAGGTATACAACTCTCTTTCTTTCATTCATTCTCCTAGTAATCTGTTGAAAGGATCAAGTAATATGTAAATTATGAAATCAATGAAGTCCGTAAATATGAAACTCTATCCAGATCATAGGAATCTAAAACCTTCTTGCCAATTTTTGGATTGGCGATGACAACTCTAGAGAGTTAGACGCTACTACACACCCAACCACTGTGATGTGCTTTTTCAGGTCTTCTTTGGATAGGTTGCAAATTGAGCAGATTGGAATAGCACAACTACATTGGTCCACTGCAAATTATGCTCCTCTTCAAGAGCGAGCTCTTTGGGATGGTTTAGTGGCAATGTATGAGAAGGTTATCAAGTCAATTTTGTTATCTTAAATTCTCTGCTTCCATAGGCTTGTTCAATAACTCATCCTTCTTGTACTTAAACCTCAATAGAAAAGATTGTAGTTGGTTTTTGAAATCCATCATGGTACTCAAGACTTTAGACCACATAAGAGTTGTTTTAGTAAGTTACTTCATGTCTAACGATCTTTCTGAAATCATTTCTTGAATCACTTCACACCAGTGCACTGTTACGGCAATGTCCTCCTCTATTTAGAACTCATGGATACATATCATATAGGGTTTGGTTCGGGCAGTTGGGGTGAGCAACTATGGACCAAAGCAGCTAATTAAGATACATGATTACCTCAAGGCACGTGGAGTTCCCTTATCTTCAGCTCAGGTAATTGTGCATTATCATGCATCACATGCTTCTTTTAAGTTTTAACCAACACACAGGGGAAAGACAGCATGGCTCGCCAGGTTCGTTGGGGAGGCTAAACCCTACCTTGTAACAAGTGGGAAAACAACATGAAATAGCAAAAATACTAAAACCTGAAGATTATCTTTTTAAGTCATGAAAAAAAACATGAACTCGTGGAAAGTAGTTTTAAGATCTTTAATGGAAAATACTGAGCTGGGACAAAAACCTTATTCCATTATAAGTATAGGTTCAAGAGGAAAGAAACTGTGCAACCTTATTATCTTTTCTAGAGATTGTTGGGGAACATAAACCTTACAGCTTAACAAGTGAAATTTTATAACTACTACAAGAGGGACAACCAAAAATGATAAATCTTGAATGCTATCTTCCAAATCCAGGAAAAGCATAAGTAGGTACAAGTATTACTTATGTGTGATGGCAAAGCCTGAGCTAAAATAATACTTTTATTCCTGCAAGGATTGTAGCTCCAAAAGACAAGAGTCCCTATATACATTAACTATGTCATTGGAATTTCCAAGTAGAAGGATGGAGAGGATGCAAGGACTCTAAGAGTAAAGGCACTGGAGCAACATGCATTAAGTTTCCATTTTTATTTATGCCTGCTGTAAGTGATCTGTTGCGCAACCTGATTTTAGGTGCAATTTTCATTGTTGAGCATGGGTGAGGATCAAATGGAGATTAAGAATGTATGTGATTCACTGGGAATCCGCGTGATATCTTACAGTCCATTAGGCCTTGGCATGCTTACCGGCAAGTACACATCTTCTAATCTTCCACGGGGACCAAGGTACATTTGCTTCTCCTCTCCCTCTCTAAACTAATTTAATAGAATGTTACTGAGTATTGCAAGAAATTCACCAAAAAGAAATTCCTGCAGTATTAACATTTAAGAGTCAAACTAAAGCATCCATCATCGAGGTGAAACAACAAATATGTTATATGATAGATGGGCTTGTGCACCTAAGTAGATAATTATAATAAAATCCTAATTCTTGACTTCTTGTAAGCCCATCTTCTAGAACTTCTCAGATTGGAACACATATATTATTCATGCCCAGCATTTGAAACAAAATGTCAAATGTGCAAAAACAAAAATCTAATGTTCAAAGATAAAACAGGCTTGTTTTCTTCCCATATGCACAAAGGAGGACCGAGTGTTGAACAAGGAACAACTCCTTAAGGCCATTAGAAATGGTTCCTCCTCAAACTCTAGACACCAATCATATTGAGTGAGTTCATCCATTCGGCCAGTCAACCCTATGGACATCATGAAGGGACGACTTGACGGCACCTAGACTGTTGATTCCTCCCTTAATATCTGGACCAGTTGGCTTCTAAACAAGTCACACTGCCCCTCCTTTTGAAATAGAAGAATTTATCACACACGGCCACACACTATAAGACCACTGTCCGATTAGTAAATTTAGATGACAGCTCTTGCTAAAAAAACAAGTATGAATCGCAAAACTATGAAATGATTTTATTAACAAGGATATCCTACACGGCAACTACGAACAGTTCTTGTGTCCATACTTCTTACCATTCCATAAGGGTTCTGTTTGTTCAGACAACCGACATGGTGTATTCAAGGACAGTTCCACATTCTTCTATGAATTTTGTTAAAGATTGTGGACATTGTTTGTGTGATCAATGATATACACCAAGCCAAATGTACTCGGTCAATCCCACACTTAGTAGGGTCTGGAGACCAACAACTTGTGAAAAAGGTTTCCCAAATAAGATTTGAGGGATTCTTAAGCGACTCCGAGAGTTGGTCCAAAATTTGAAAGAACACAAGTTTTGAAAAGTTAATGAAGAGGTTGAGACAGTTTGGGGAAAAAGGAGAAAAGACTTGGAAAAGTAGAAACGAGTAAGCACAAACAAGAATAAAGATCAAAGCAGCCTAAGGGTTAGATCCCGGCCTTTCAAGAGGTCAAGGGTTCAAACCTCATTAAAGGTAAGGAATGTGTGTGAGTAATTGCACTATATAAATATTATATTCTTAAAAAAGGATTAAAACAAGTAAAACAATAAACAATAATCGACCTAGCGCTCGTCACTTGTCATTGTAGGGGTAACCATAATGAGAGTAATAGTCAGTTGTACATAATGAGATACCATTACCATCCCAAATAATCAAATGTATCCTTCTTTGTGTAGAATACAAAATGAAATTAAGCTCCATCTAAAAGAGGGTACAATGTTTTGGTTGTTTTATCTCAGGAGTTTGCTGTTCAGACAAATTATTCCAGGGCTGGAGCCGTTGTTAATCTCATTAAAAGAAATATCATTAAAAAGGGGAAAAAGCATACCTCAGGTGTGTGCTTGTTCCTTGTTTAGTTAGTAAGTGGTTGAGTTGTATGATACTAGTTATAAGTTGGCATTTGCAGGTTGCAATAAACTGGTGCATCTGCAAAGGCACGATTCCAATACCAGGAGTTAAGTCTGTTAAACAAGCTGAGGAGAATCTGGGAGCTCTAGGTTGGAAGCTGAGGGGGAATGAGTTGGATGAATTGGAATATGGTGCGAGCCAATCTTCTGGCAAGATGATCCAAAACGTCTTCCAGACAAGGTGGTATGATATCAGCTTCAAATAAAACTCTAAAATTCTTCAACAGATGATGAGTAATAATAGATGCTTGTCCATTTGCAGATAAGTTTGAGGAAAAGCTCGGTCCGCCTGACAAATGTACGTAGATATAGGGATACTGAATGCCTCTCCTAGTACAAGTTGTGTAAAAGAAGAACATGTGACATAAAACGATTGGTTGGTTGGTTGGTTCAAGTGTGTTTGGGATGCTCCTATCTCTGTTGTTTTAATATGGTATTGATTCAACAAAAAAGGATCCTCAATCCATCTGGTTTAGTCCTTTGTTGCTTTTCCTTATGTGAGCAGGAAAACTGGGGTGTGTAACAAGGGGTGTGGGCTTAGTAGAATGAAGCTGATTTACCAAAAAAACAAATAAAGATGAGGAATAGGAATAGGAATAGGAATAGGAATAGGAGAGTTTATTTAAGAAAATGTGAAAGTAATGTTGGAATGGAGAGTGATAATAAGTGATGATGGTGTTGTCACTATCTGGTTTATAATCATAAAAAGTGTATGCCCAAATAGAATTAAAACATTTTAATATTCTTTTCTTCTTCAACACCAACTTTAATTTCTTAAAAAAAAAAAAAAAAAAGGAACATTCTTTTCTCAATTAAAAGCTTATGTTCATCAAGAACTCCATCATAAACATTTTCATATCTTTCGTTTCTCAATTAAAAGAAATCCATATCCATATTAAAATAATGGTGTATGTATTATCAAACATATATACACATGAATTACAAACATCATCTAAAACTAAATTCTTGATTTTGTTAAAACAATAAAGAAAAGCGAGTCAACAAAATGAGGCATTATGTTTGGAGAGAGAGGGAGTTGAAAGTAAAAGTAAAAAAGTAAAAAGTAAAAGCAAAAAGTAACGTTTTTATATATCATTATTTCAAGCATTGCATTGCATTGCATTGCATCTTAAGTTTTTATATATAATTATTTGTGATTTGATTTTTATAGTTATGTTTGAAGGTCAACTTGAAAAATAAATTCTGAATAAAGATATAAAATATTGATAGGATCCTCTTCTATTTTATGAATTTAAAGTGATAATTTAATGAACAAGTGTATATATTATATAAATAATAATCATAAAAAAAAAATGAAAATTCATAATAAAATTGGAAATGGAAATGGATGATGCATAAATAATATTAATATTATGATGGATGAGACAAACAAAAGGTAAAAGTTCTCAGAGAGAGCAGTTGATTTCATTCATGGTGGATACTCCTCTTCCTCCTCCCCCCATCCATGCTCTTCCATTTCTATTCCTCCGCCGCTCATGCTGTTGAAGCCACCCTCCATAAGCTAGGTGACTTCTTCTTCATCAGCGGCGGCGCCGCCTACCCCAATGCCGGAGTGAATCTTCCCACCACCATCTTCGCCGCTCTTCTAATCGCTGCTGCTATGTATTCCACCTCTAGGTAATTTATTACTACTAACCACTTCTTCAACTCTACTTCAAACCCTAGAAATACTAATACTGCTGCCTAGGACTCTTTTTTTTTTTCTTTCCCTTTTTCTCTCTTCTTGTTGCTTTCCACGACAAACTGGGTTGGATTGATGAAAGCCCTAAGACGCAGTCAAACCTCCTCCTCCTCCTCCTCGTCAAATTCATCAAATTCCTGGATTCATTTGAGATCTGTATTATTCGTAGTTGCTTCTTCCTCACCAGCTTCGTGTTCCTCTTCCGATCGGTGAGTATCTTCTTCTTTGATCCAAATCATGTTTTCCGATTAGCCGTCACTATGTTCACTTCAAATCTTGATCTCAAATCCTTGATTGTAGCACTAACCCCCCTCCCCCAAATCTTAGGTCTTGTCCATTCAATAAATTATATCATTCTGATGCTTGTTTATTTAATAACTTTGCAACTTTGGAACAAGTTTGACGAGTTCAGGACCCTGCTTTTTTCCTTTTAAATATCATTAGATGTATGGACGGTAACTTTTATGCTATTGCCCTAACCTAACTTTATTCGTTTTCCAACTTCTTGCTTCATAAGGATTTCATTTGGATCGTGCATTGCTTGTATATGAACCCTGTTCGTGTCTTTTTCTCGTTTTTCTTTTTCCTTTTTTAAATATCAGCAAAATCCAATCTGAATAATGCGAACCTTGGACATCTGTTCCAATCTGAATATGGATCTTCATTGCCCAAAACTAAGCCATGTTTTGCTGTCCTTTGGAATTTTACTTCTTAGGACATAGTGAAGATGGGTGTCATTTTTCACACGAAACAATAAATGCGGATTCTAGTGGAAAAATTATCTTCTTTTCAGCAATAAACCTTAGGCTTCTCCTTAATATCCTTGTTTTGATGATAAATTCTGAATGATATAAAATAAAAAGAAACGTTTTCATATGAGGATCAGGATTCAAACATGAGAACTGATATGAAAGTTGTTTAACAGAAAATGAGAATAAAAGGGTGAGCCAACAGAAGGAAAAATGATCCCAGTAATAGAATTGGTTAATTTCTGTAGTGATATATAAGTTTGAGGATTACCAGTGTAACTGAATTCTCAATAGGTTAACTGGTAAAAAGATTTATTTTCGATGACCTTACCCTTTCAGCCATACGTTGCTTGATGGATGTCTTATGTTTTCTTTGCTATTTTTTACTTTCAAGATATCACAAGTCTTTCAAGTTTCAAGGCTACCACTGGAACTTCATGCTTAAAGTAGGTTGCTAACAAGGGTAGAGTGGGTAAAAAGAGCTAACCTATAGCCTATGTGCACCACTGTTTTGTGGTTGCGATGCTTTTCATGCATGCACTCATATGCTTTTCTTCTCTATCTTCCCAAAATTGTTATTCAGAATTTTCTTTATGTGTATACCTTCCTATTCCTTTGCCACAAGTTTTCACCCGATTTAACTTAACTTTTGGACCATGGCACACTACTTCAGAATGAGAACCTTAACTATGAGTTGGTATTGGAACTAAGATTGGGCACTAGATTGGGTAATACTGAACCAATATTCATTTATCGTTTTGTACTTGTAGCTTTTTTATCATGTGGCAATTAATGATTGTACCCACTGCCCAGACAGATTTTACTTTTTCAGAAAATAACTTGAGAGTTAGTTTTACTGAAATTACATGAAACTACATTACTAAGCAGAAATATATCGATAGTGTCCTTTTACTTCTTCCCTTCTAGAAGCTAGTAGATAGTGGCATTAGATGTTTTTCTTAGAAAAATTGGTTGGGGGAAAACTGTCCTGAATAGAGAAGTGATGTTGCTCGGTCAATACAAAAGGCATTTTACTGTTTTTCTTCTATTTATGCTTTTACAGTTTCTATTGTCTATCTGGTTTTTCTTTGTGGCATACACGATTTCTAGAAAACTTTTATTGCATGAACTTCTATATTTGACTTGACAAGTTTGAGGCTGAGGGCTATTGATAAACTGTCGTATTTTCTGACACATAAATTCATTATAATGTGAATGGGATGTGGGAAATACACTACTGTCAGTAATCTCTAAACCTTTCTCCTATCTATTTTTTGTGATGAAACCCATAAGTGGCAATGTGAAGGGAATGTATGGTACCCTATTATCACTGCATATTATTTTCAGAAGAGAAAACATTTCGTAGGGAGTTCCAAGATATTAGTTTGTGATTATTGATTGTTGTCAGGGGCCTATTGTTTTTCATTTCAGCTAAAATGAGTATTATTGATTTCAGGGGACGACTCAAATCACCATGGTCTCGTAGGAAAAGAAAACATGCACTCACTCCTCAGCAGTGGAAAAGTTTGTTTACACCAGAAGGAAAACTTAGAGATGGTGTTAAATTTCTGAAAAAAGTTCGCAGTGGGGTGTGTTACCAGTTTCACGTGATCTGATTATTTTACTTGTTCTAAAGTTTACAGGGTTTGAATAATTTATTTCTCCATTCTCCTACTAATTGATCTGTAGGGAGTTGATGCAAGTATCAGGTCAGAAGTTTGGACTTTCCTACTTGGAGTGTAAGTATCACTTCCAATTTGTTTTCTAAGTTCACTATGTAGTTTTTACATGGATGTTACATATGCATCCATATTGTAGATGTCTATATCTTTCAACATTTGCTTGTTTAACTAGAGGCTGTTTACTGAATGAGAGCACTTGGTGCATTTTAAAGAGCTTGTGTATTATATTTATGCATCTCGGTGAATGATGTTAAAAGTTATTTAAACCATAACTAGGAGCATCAGATATTTAGGCATGGGAACACCCATAATACAAAGGGGACTAGTCAGACTTTTGGGCTGAAAGAGTGCAACGAGCAGTTGGTTGCAAGATGTGTCTGTAGAGATTGGGGCTGTTAGAGCTTCTTTTGTCCCCAAACTTGTTATGTTTTCAATAGTTTTTTGCTCACTGTCTAATTTGTAGACAGAGAATGCCTAACATTGCTTACTGCCGCTAATGACCTACTTTCCTTTCTCCATTTTTTTACTCAACAGTTATGAACTGAACAGTTGCCAAGAAGAAAGGGATAGATTAAGAACTCAGGGAAGGTATGCTAGTCGATACCTTTTGTCCTTTAGTAAAATATATTTTCATCAAATATGCAGCTTTTACACATGGCATGATCTTTGTTTTTAATTTTTGGTACAGAAAGAAGTACGAAAAGTTCCGGAGGCAATGCAGGAAACTTGTGAGGTGCAGCGAAGAAAGCTTTAAGTTGAAAGAAACCGGTGAAAGCAGCAGCAATGGGGACAGTGATCCATTCAATCAAGGCATGGACTCTGCCGAATCAGAAGATGTTGTGAGTGCTAGGGAGTCCCTTTCTAGTGAGGAAATAAATTCATCTCCTGGGTGTTCAGATAATCGCATCAATTCAGTATTGGAGGAAGATCCTGGCGGTTCAACTAGATTCATAGATCCAAACATGTCTGACTCGGAGTCTTCAGACTCAGATTCCTCTCAGGATGCTGAAGTAAGTCAAACATTCCCCTCTTCCGATAGCAAGGAGGAAAACGAAGAGTCAACCCCCAAGTCAGAAGAAGTCCAATCAAAGCTTCGTTCAACAGAGGATTTTTCCACTTGGCAGCGGATCATCCGCCTTGATGCAATTCGTGCCAACGGAGACTGGATACCATACTCCCCAAGTCAGGCGCAAGTCTCTGAGGAACGGGCTCTCCGGTTGGCAGAGGCGGTCGGGTTAAAGGACTACGAGCATCTTGAAGCATGCAGGATCTTCCATGCATCGCGGCTGGTTGCGATTCTTGAAGCTTATGCGCTATACGATCCTGAAATAGGGTACTGCCAAGGGATGAGTGATTTACTGTCTCCAATAATCACGGTTATAACAGAGGACCATGAAGCATTTTGGTGTTTTGTTGGGTTCATGAGAAAGGCGCGGCACAACTTCAGGCTGGATGAGACAGGTATCAGAAGGCAGTTGAATAGGGTGTCGAAAATCATCAGATGGAAAGACTCGCACCTGTATAAGCACTTGGAGAAACTACAGGCGGAGGATTGCTTCTTTGTGTACAGGATGGTGGTAGTGCTGTTTAGGAGGGAATTAACCTTTGAACAGACGATATGCCTATGGGAGGTGATGTGGGCAGATCAGGCGGCTATTAGAGCGGGAATAGGGAAGTCGGGATGGAACAGGATACGGCAGAGGGCACCACCAACGGAGGATCTGTTACTGTATGCAATCGCAGCATCGGTGCTGCAGAGGAGGAAACAGATCATAGAGAAGTACAGCAGCATGGATGAGATAATAAGGGAATGCAATAACATGGCAGGCCAATTGGATGTGTGGAAGCTTCTAGACGACGCCCATGACTTGGTGGTTTCGGTGCATGACAAGATAGAGAGTCGTTCGATCATAAAATAAAATGAATCATCACAACCCCTTGCGTATTATGTAATGTACTAGTAGTACTACTCTATTGGCACTCCACCAGCCAGCCTTGTTTGCTGCTGGGGTGTTTTCCTTTTTTTTTTTTTATTTTTTTTATTTTTTTTTATAATTTTAATTTTTAGTGAGAGGGGAGGGGAGACAATTATTGTGGTGTCTTACAAACACAAATATCATCCAAGTAACAAGATTGGGAATGAATCTAAATTCTATTCCATTTTACCAATCATCTTCTTACACATGTTTTTCATCTTCCAGAAGAATGATACACATTTAGTTACTTAGGCAACCCAAAGCCAAGAAGATGATGATGATGAAAGTGTGATATCTTGACGATGAATTGTCAAGTCTTGTCTGTGACTGTGAGTATATGTATATAGGATTAGGTGGAATGCCAATGTGTTTATGGGGAACAGTTGATATGTGCATCATCTGTTCACACTGCTTGTTAGTTAGTTGGAGATAAATAGACACACATACCAGTTGCTGTTAGGCAGCAGGACTCGATCAATTACAAAGTTTGACCTTCCAACCTACAAAAGATCCCCATTTCCTTCTCTTAAAAAAGGGGCATTTTTTATAACCTTAAATTAAAAATCTCAAATCAAATCAAATTAATTATATTATTAAAATATTTTTATATTTAATAAATTCAAAAGTTATTTTATTTATTTATTATTATTATTATCATTTTTTTTAAATTAATTTGAAAATTCTTGTGATATTTTACATTTTCTTAAAAGAAACTACTAAAATGATATTTACAATTAGGCCTGAATTTTGTGTTCCCTTTCTTAAACAAATGTCTTTGACATCAATCTTATTAATATATTTTGTTTACTTAAAGAAATAAATTGATAGAGTTATATTTTTAACAATAATATCATTGCATGAAGATGGAATTCTTTTTACATTCATTCTTATTTCGAGTTGTTCGGTTTATTTTTTTTATATAAATAATTGTATGGATAGAATTGTCTGTGTTGATAAAATTGTCTGGATGATATAACATAAATTATTATTTGGTTTTTATGTTGTCTGAATGTCATAAATGATCATTTTATCCCTTTTTGTGTGTGTGTGTGTGTGTATATATATATATATATATATATATATATATTTTAAACCCAATTCCAAACAACTTCATTTCCAAAATCCCAAATCAGAACAAAATAATTAGCAAAAAAATCAAGGTCTAATATTTTTTTCAAACCTAAAATCTTTAGAGATTTTATTTACCAAATCCTCCGGGGAGAAAATCTAATTGTTGTGGTCGTGTAGATGCAAATATGGCAAAAGCAGCAACAACTAGTTCATAATGGTCAAAGTGATGAAGAGATTTGAACTCCAATCGTAACCCTAAAAAGAGGTTTCATGAAGAAATTGCATCTGAATATGGATGAAAATGACTCTGCACAAGGATAAGAATAAAAAGCATCTGATGGAGGAGGCATGGAATACATCAAGAATGCTTTCAACATCGAATCAGAATGAAGGTGAAGAAAAACATAGAACCACAATAGTGTCTGTAGATAAACATCGAACCGGAACTGAACCAGATGAAGAATTAGAATGAAGATGAGGCAGAATTGAAGGGTGGATTTTGCAAAAATCTAAGATGGCCAACTAAAAGTTGGGGATGTTGAACCAAAATGTAAGCTTGCTTTGGGGATTTTCTCTTAATTATGTTGAAGTTTCTACAAATTTAAGAAACAAAGGTTGAATGTATTGTTTAAAGGACTTCTGTTTTTGGCTTACCGAATAAGCCATTGTTTTATCGGATAAGTCACAATCGAACATGGCTTACCGAAGAGGCCATTAAGCCGCTACCAAACAACCCATAACTCTAAAAAGTTTAAGGTTATAAATGACGTAAGGTGTGGTGTGATGGCGATGCCAAGAATCAATCTTTACAAGTTATGGTAAGGTATGACTTTTTTTTCAAGAATTGAGTCAAGACGACAAAATTGTATATGATATGTGTGTGTCAACATGTTAAACCACAATATTGAACAATTCAAATTACCACATATTTATAGTAATAATATAAAGGACTCGTAACAAAAGGTCATCATGTCCACCAATGGTTCCATCATGTGGCAAAAACTAAAAATAAACATGTTTAATTGGTTCGTATAAATAACTACATTTTAATAACTTGTTGCTTAAAATATAAAATATTATAAATAAATAATTTTGAAAGAAAACAAGGGAATATTGTATGTTATTATTGAGAAAGAAATGTTGTATAAAATTGAATTCATGTGCTAATAAGCAAAACATTTAAACCCAAGCATCTACATCTACATTCACATTTATTAAATAAATAACAGTAACAATGCAAATTCATCCTAATTTAAGAAAATAAATCATATTTTATTATTAGATATTTTAATTAATTTTGTAATCTCCAAAATACAAAATAAATATTTTGAATTTTTTATTTCTCCGTTTTGAAGAATTTATTAGAAAATGGAGGAGATGCTCTTAATGGTTGAGGGACCGAATGTCTTGTCTGTATCGTATTTGTTAACTAAGTTATACACCAGAAGCTATTACGTGTATTATATTACAAATTAACTTATATTCGTTTTTAGTTTTGATGAAATTAATTTTAAAAATATCATTTTTTTTATTGACCATAAGAGATGATTATAGTTATGTTAACTTTGACACTAATTTAAAATATATATATTTCTACCATATTCTTTTGACATTAACACTTTGTGTTCAAACATCTTTTCATTCATGATCGTATACCAAAATAACTTATGCTAATGATTGTTTTTTCAACGAACGGACATGAATAAAATGCTTTGTTGACCGTTTGTTTGCTTGCTTAAGTTAAAAAAAACGAACACGAACATCGCGTTCGGTTAGTTTATAACTCTATGGATTTGCCTTCGTGGTCAAAGCTATTTACTTGCAATTTTCAAGCAATGCAATGGGAAAGTACAGTGAAAAGCCCGACTAACAAGTTATCATCATGAATATAAAACATAAAAACCATAAACATGATAGATTCAACAAACATTGAACCAAATAAACAGTTGACGCCCTCCAGAAAAGAAAGATAGGACATCAAACAGAAAATTAAACCTTTGTATTTTGAAAAAAAAACACGAATTTAAGTACACTACAATACAGTTAAGTTGGTTGGTTGGTTGGTTGGTTTTAGAAAGAAAGAAAGATTTTGAAAATCAGTTACTAAAATAAAAACAACTTCATTTTCATCATTTCATTTCATTTCATTTCATGTAAAATAAATGTAAACAAAGAAATGGATAAGTTTGATGGGCCGGGCTTTGTGGGCTTTTTATTAAATAATTGACATCTAGTATTGTATTGTTACTTGTTGTATCTTGTATCAGAGTGTGTGTTTAAACATTGAGGTCGTCGACGTCTCGGTCTCTGTCTCTCCCTCATCGGATCGGATCGGATCGGATCACTTACTCACTATTCCGATCCCTCTGCCCGCTAACTCTCCGGTTACTCCTTTCTCCCTCTTTCTGATTTTTATACATCAACATGTCCTTTACCCCCAATTTCATTTTTCTTTACATCAATCACTTAACTCCCAAATTTACCAGATTACAGATTTTGTTATATATTTGTAATCCTGATCAGGCTTTTCACTTTTGAATTCAATCAGTTTCCATATTACCTGTTAACTTACATCTATCCATCTGTTGCATACTTTCTTCCTTAAAGGCTATTTCTTATCTAACTGGAATTTTTTGGGGATGCAACGCTCTGCTCTAAATATTTCAATTTCTCAACAGTGAATTCAAGGCTTTCAGAGTGGTAATTGATCGTTAGAAGAATGGTAATGCTTCATCCTGACACTTAATATATATTATTTTTTCTTCTATACAATATGATCACTGTTGCCGTGGATTCTGACCTGCTTTTTATTTTTTAGAATTACATTTTAGGGGCTTTCAAGCCAGCTTGTAATATTTCAATCACATTCGCCGATGGCAAAACTCGCAAACAGGTATGCATTTCTTCAGGAATGTTAATAGAGAGTACTACTGGTATTGAATGATGCTTGTGGAATATTTTTCTTCTCTAGGTTCCCTTAAAGAAGGAAAATGGTCAGACGATACTGGTTCCTCTTTTCCAAAGTCAAGAAAACATTGCTGGAAAGGTATAAATGTGATCTTTCTATTAGATGATTGACTACATGCAAAGTTTGTGACCATGCTGCATCCTTGTGTTGCATATGACATTTATTCCCCCAAATATCGAAGCTACCTATGTAAGAGCTTATAAATTGTGTTCCATCGTTTTCAGATTTCGTTAGAACCAGTGCAAGGGAAGAAGGTTGAACACAATGGTATTAAGATAGAGCTCCTTGGTCAGATTGGTGAGTTTATGTGTACATTTGCAATATAATGGCCTTAGAGTATTAACATATCTTGGTGTAACATGTAGTATCATGCAGCAAGTTGCAACCTTACCAATAAGGGCATAAAACTTAAAGTAAGAGGTTCTGTTTTATCTGTAACATATCTTGGCATATGGTTGATTTTGATTTCCTGATGCAACATGGAGATCAAAGGGTTACTTTTTATTCTAGAGATGATGAACCTAATCTATCTGGTAGAAGAATATGTGAAACTTGCCATAAAAAGGTTGTAATATACTTTGAAGTTTGTGCAGTGAAAGGTGGAACCCTTTAAGTAGGTTGAATGGAGGTCCTACAAAGTATAAACTAACCATAAAATAGGGAGAAAATGTAGAAGATAGAATAATACTAGAATGAGGAGAACATAGATAATTTGATCAGTTGAAGCTCTATAAGTTACCATAATTAGATAATACTTGGACATCTCTTATGATTTTGCACAAATAGTTGAGAGTTTGAACTATATAGTCACTTTCCAACTTGTGCTACTTAATTATTATGAATTTGTGAAGTTCCAAGTAATTTGTGAACGTTAGTTCTTCATTGCTATCTTTTAAATTACAACAATCTAACAATAAGTCAAATGTCAAATAAAATTAATCAATTATAGGAAATGGGATTGATGTCAAATCTTCAATATGTCCTACCATGCCATTCTATTTTGACTTTTTCCTGGGCTTCTGAGAGTCCAACTTCTCTAAAACATAAATCCATTATATTGGGAGGTGACCGAATAGGGCTTGGTGTTCTTCTCAACCCTAGCCTTCTAGATTGACTTCTCAGCTAATATGATAGGAGGTGTAATTTATATCAATGACTTCACGGATGTCTCTGTTTGTTTTATTTTCCCTGTAAACTATTTAGCTCTGTTTTTGAAAAATATAGGGTCTCCTCGTTTAACACCCCCCCCCCCCTCTTTTATTTCATAGTCGTAATATGAGGCCTATTTTACATGATGTGAGAAATAAGTGGAGATGGGACCAGAAAATGGGCTAATGGAACTCTAGCGTTTCTTGCATTGGTTGAGCATAATTTCTTTTAACATTTTACCGTCTTATTTTCTTTGCAGAAATGTATTTTGACAGAGGCAACTTCTACGACTTTACCTCCCTTGGTAGGTTTCTCTAAACCAAGGCTAACCTCATTTGCTTCGTCTTTTTATCTATTGGGAAACTTTTACTGGTTTCTTGTTGTTAAGTAAACGTTGTTTTATCTATTTACAAAATTTCTCGAATCCTCATTTATCACTGATATTCACCCACAATCTTTTGAATGTAGTTCGTGAACTGGATGTTCCTGGTGATTTATATGAAAAGAAAACATATCCTTTTGAATTTTCAACTGTTGAAATGCCGTATGAGACATACGGTGGAGCGAATGTCCGACTTAGGTAAGTTTCTTATTTTTAATATATAAGGATGTACATGCATTATGCTTTTATTTCCTCAAAAGAATCAAGCCATCATTATAAATTCATGTACAAACACATTCATCTTGAGAATTATTATGCTCTTGCATGTGTTTCTTTCTTTTTCCAAAACCCTTAGGTGACAACAGTAGTATGTTTTTTCCCGAAGTTCTGTCCTTGTGTGGCTAATGGTGTTATTTAGACGAAACTAAGATATTTCTGCACTATCCCATTTTCAGATATGTCTTAAAGGTAACCATCAGTCGTGGCTATGCTGGTAGCATAGTGGAATACCAAGATTTTGTGGTAAATAATCTCACCCCTGCTCTATCTCTCTCTCTCTCTCCCCCTCTCTCTCTCTCTCTATATATATATATATACACACACATTTATATAGACTTGAGATCACATGAGACTAGCATGTTTTNCCCCAAACCAATGCACTCGATCTGAAGGTGAGCCTAAAGCATGAACGCCTAGTAATATGTTGTGTGACAATAGGACTCTGAACGATATATTACAATTTCTACTGCTCAAGGATATCATGGTATAAGTTTTTGGGTTGAAAGGCCTGTTGGTGTTTTGGTGGTAATCTGCTTTTTGGGCCATCAAGTGGAAAATATGTATATCTTGTCTTCTGTGAGATTGATTGTGGCTGCTAAAGCAAGAATGTATCGATCTAAATTCAGGCCTTAAGGAGTCTGGTCGGCCTGACCTCAAGCAAGCTACAAGATTTCTAAAGATAATGTGTATATGTTCTGTAGATCTATTAAATGGCTGAAGTTTTTTTCTTCTGCCCACTGAAATTTTGATCAAATTCCTTTTCTTTTTCCTTTTATATTTTTCCCTTTTGAAGCACCACCATGGTAAGAGGCCATTTTGTTTAATTGCTCTTTTGTGGACCTTTTCCTTAGTTCTGATCTATCCCTCTGTATTTGTTGCATCAGGTTCGTAACTATGGCCCACCACCATCAATCAACAATAGCATCAAGGTTGGTGATATATCACAGATAATATATATTAGAAACATATAGATATGGGGCACTGCACATGAGCACATTGATGACCAGGTCAAATGTACATTTTGTCCGGACTAAATATAGCATTCTTGTTCTCTGACATATGATCCATGCAGATGGAAGTTGGCATAGAAGACTGCCTTCATATTGAGTTTGAGTACAACAAGAGCAAGTAAGTAGGATCCAAGTGTGGAACATAGCAAGAATACATTCATTTTCTAGATATTTTTCTGGTAAATTGCAAAAAAAGACAGTTTCATTGTTAATGGATTCGGCCCAAATTTGATAAATCACTCTGGCTAGATCTGAAATGATAAGAAGATGGCAATGTTGGTCTCTTCCTGTCTCTGTTGATAATGGGCCCGGCAAACCTTCTCTGCTTCATCAGTCCTCATCTGCATATATGAACAAACTCCTCTTTGCTTTTCTACCCTTCTAATGTTGTCCTGATTGAACAGTATCTCACTTCCATGAGCTCCTACCATAGTCACCTTTAGAGCGTTGAGCTACAGGAAACATAGAAAGAAAAATTAGATGTAGTCCAAGGTTGCTGTTGGCCTTTTATCAACCTGAATCTTGTCACCGATTTGCATGAGTTTTCCCCGCTGTCAGAGTGATTTGGGGATTGCTAATCGATACAATTATATCCAGGTATCATCTTAAAGATGTGATCATCGGCAAGATATATTTTCTTCTTGTTAGAATCAAGTTAAAGAATATGGATCTTGAGATCAGACGACGAGAATCAACTGGTTCTGGGGCTAACACTCATGTGGAGACAGAGACACTAGCAAAATTTGAGTTGATGGATGGTGCTCCTGTCAGAGGTAGTGGTTAAAAAACCATTTAAGTTATGTTTACTTACTTTGGATCTGCATGTTGCATCCATTCTGTGTTATCCTTTTGTTCTGCTGTTGGTAAGACATGTGGTGTAGTTTGTTTCATTTAAGTTATGAATACTTGGTTTAAAAAGACAAGTTTGATATGCAATATGTTATTGACAGGCGAGTCGATTCCAATCAGGCTGTTCCTGAGCCCATATGAACTGACGCCAACACACCGCAACATTAACAACAAATTTAGCGTGAAGTATTATTTGAATCTTGTGCTTGTTGACGAAGAAGACCGCAGGTACTTTAAACAACAGGAAATCACAATATACCGGACTGCAGAAACCTCGGCCTGATTTAATTGAACGCAGCGATGGATGAAGTGGAGAGGAGTTTAGGGTGTTAGAATGGTATGATACTTGTTTTGATTTGTATAGGGGGGAGCAAAAGTTATGTAGATTGGGAAATGGCAGGTATTTGTATTTGTTTGTGTTTGTGTTTGTGTTTGTGTTTGTGAATGAAGGAAGATGAGCAAATAATGATATGGATTGTGTATTTGGTTTTCATGTAAATGGGATATGGGATTGACAACTTACAATACAATACCAGAATTCAATCACACTTGACTTTTTATATCAATTCATTTTTGTAATTTTATATTTTCACTTTTGTTACGAATTTGGGTCTTTCGAATCAAAAATTCTAAATTTCTTTTAATTATTATGAAGCGAATATCATATCATGATTGAATTATTTATTTGAGTGATGGGGATGGTGTTGCCATCACGTCTTCTCTCCCACAATTTAATACCAATCACCTAAAACAAAACAATAAGAATATTTTCAGGTTCTATACTCATGGTTTATTTGATCTGGTATATGTAGATACATGAAGTGGTACTCATAATAAATTGAATTTTAAACCTGTAAAAATTCAATTTTTAAAACATCTTTTACTTCCAAGAATGTTTTCTTACAGGGGTTGAAAGGGGAAAAAAAGTAAAATTGCAGGGGCTAAAACCAGGCATTTGAAACGTAGTAAAGCCATAAAATGGACATCTTTGCTGATGATGAAGGCAAAGCGAAAGCGCGTTCGTTCCTCTTCTTCCTCGTCTCGGAACAATCTTACTGTCATCGACGCTGCCGACTCTTTTCTTTTCTTCAACTCTCTCCAATTTCGCACTCCGTATTTTGAAAATTTAGCAATGGAGGTGTTTTATTACATGGTCTTTGGGGGTTTAGGATTGATTGTGGCAGCTTTGGAGTTGAGTAAGAACAACAAAGATCGAGTTACCACTTCTCAAGCTTTTACTTCCTTCAAGAACAATTATCTTCTTGTTTATTCTCTCATGATGGGTACGCCGGATCGATTTACTTTCTTCTCACTCTTATTTTAGGTTGATTGACGTCTTCCGTAAGATCTGATTTAAATTTGATTCTTCGCGCTTGCTTTTCAATACCAATTGTTCTTATCTGTTCCACCAAATGCTGGATCGGCTTCTTGTTAATGTAAAACCTAGTGTCAATTGCTCGTTTTGTCAGTTAAACTTTTCCCTGTTTGTGACTTTTTTTTTTTTTTTTTTTTTTTTGGTAAATTACCAAACAATTTGTATATCCAAAGATAAGAGAAAATCAAGCTGCACTCTTTTTCCCATTCATTCTGATATTGCGTCAGATCTTGGCTCATACCATGCATTGCAAGCTTACTAGTTTTGAAACCATAAATTGCGTTAGATCCTCTCTTATTTGCGGTAGTAAAGTTGAAAGATGGACCGACTTGATATGGTTGACATGTTCATTCCTATATGAGATCAATGCATATGAATAGTCACACAAGTATCGTTAGTACCAGTCTTGATTAAAAATTAAGCTTTTTTCTTGACATATGCTTACTTATTTAGATCTATTAATCTTATCATCTTTCTAATGGTTCAATCTTTATTTGGCTATAGCTGGGGACTGGCTGCAGGGTCCCTATGTGTACTACCTGTACACAACATATGGCTACGGGAAGGGAGATATCGGGCAGCTATTTATTGCTGGCTTTGGATCTTCCATGCTCTTTGGCACAATCGTAGGCTCTCTAGCTGATAAACAGTAAGCTTTTAACTCTGAGTGGTCATTTTACCACCATCACTCTATGCATGTGTTAATAGTTCTGTCACTCAAATTTCAGGGGTCGGAAGCGGGCATGTGTGACATACTGCATCACTTACATACTTAGTTGCATGACTAAGCATTCTCCTCATTATAAGGTTCTGCTGTTGGGTCGTATTTTGGGTGGCGTTGCTACCTCTCTCCTCTTTTCAGCATTTGAATCGTGGCTTGTTGCCGAACACAACAAGGTGAAGTATTGTACAGAAAAGAAGTCAAAAGCATCTAGGTCAAATAGTTACATATTTTCATCGTATGACTTGTAAGATGTAAGAACCTACCAAAGGGCCTTTGGCCTAGCGGTATGTGAGCTTTTGGCCTCCTAGGAGGTCAAGGGTTCAAACCTCACCAAATGTGAGGTGGGTGTGTGAGTTTATTTATTCTATTTGTCGTATATAAATATTATATACTTCAAAACAAAAGATGTAAGAACCTTAAAACTAAAAGACCGGAATTTTGTATATTTCCAACATAATAAGGGAATGAACCCTTTTTATACAAGCCTCAAAAACTCATTTTCAAATGAAACCATGGAGTGTCATCTTGTGGGAATGTTCTGTTAATCTAAAGTATACTCAAGAAGTTTGTTCGTGTGTTTTAAATTTGTGTCCATGATATATGTAGGTTGCATCGCGCACTTAAATGAAAATTATTGTTTTGGCTTCACGGTGTTTGGGGTCCTTCATTTCGCATTGTAGTATCAGTTTCTTGTTTGCTGAATATCAGTGATTACTATTAGCTTGCCACACTTGAACAGATCTTAGTTTGGTCAAACTAACTCAGGACCGTAATTAATTGGTTTTCCTTTACTTCTTGTAGAGAGGGTTTGAACAACAATGGCTCTCTTTAACTTTCTCCAAGGCGATATTCCTGGGGAATGGTCTGGTTGCTATCATCTCAGGGCTGTTTGGAAACTTTTTAGTTGATGCTGTTAGTCTTGGCCCTGTGGCACCCTTCGATGCTGCAGCATGTATTCTTGCAATTGGAATGGCCATTATACTATCCTCATGGGGTGAGAACTATGGAGACCCTTCAGAGAACAAGGACTTGCTTTCCCAGTTCAAGGGTGCTGCTGTAGCAATTGCTTCAGGTAGATATTTATGTTCTGTTTCTTCTCTTCTTTTTGAAATCTTATCAGTTATATTTAGATCTTCTTCCTAGTTCTTTTAGCCATATATGATATATAAACCTTAAAGGCTGCACCAGTTATGGAGTATGCAGTGCAGAAAGTTCTTTGATATCTGTTTGGGACTTGTTTATTCTATTTTGTGTATCAGATGAGAAAATTGCATTGCTGGGAGCTATACAGTCTCTATTCGAAGGGTCAATGTACACCTTTGTTTTCCTATGGACTCCTGCCTTAAGTCCAAATGATGAGGAGATTCCACATGGTTTTATTTTTGCCACATTCATGTTGGCCTCGATGTTGGGAAGTTCATTTGCATCTCGACTGATGGCCCGCTCATCACCTAGAGTTGAGAGCTACATGCAGATCGTGTTTTTGGTGTCTGCAGCATCCCTTTTGCTTCCTATAGTGACTAATGTATGTTATCCTTTACACCTTTCTCATTTCTTGGCCCCTTATGATGAATATTTTAACGGAGATTAATTAAATTGTGACAGTTCTTCATAGCTCCTCCTGAGGTGAAAAGTGGAGGCATCTCATTGGGAGGATGTGTTCAACTTCTTGGCTTTTGTACTTTTGAGGCTTGTGTTGGAATCTTTTGGCCATCCATCATGAAGATGAGGTCCCAATACATTCCTGAGGAGGCCAGAAGCACAATCATGAACTTCTTCCGGATTCCTCTGAATATATTCGTCTGCGTTGTGCTCTACAATGTATGCTTACTGCAACTTGAATGTGATCTGCCTTTTGGCTTCAACCCTATCACAAAGTTTGAATCCCACAAGCACATATATTCTTGTGGAAACCAAACTAGATTATGTTATTTAGTGGTCTTTTTGAGTTTTGGATGCCTAACTAACAGTATTTGGTTGTGTTTGAAGGTGAATGCATTCCCTATAACGATCATGTTTGGAATGTGCTCCATCTTCCTTTTTGTGGCTTCGGTGCTGCAGAGGCGATTACTGGTTATAACAGATAAGCCAAGTAAGTAGACAGTTTATTTATGGTCAAGGCTTATGCATTGTGTGCATCAGATCAAGATGCAGCAGTCGTATGATCGTTGTTAGACTTGCTTATGAGTCTTATATGTGGTCTAATGCATTTTTCCCGTGATTTTATCATATTTCAGAGTCGGAAAACTGGACATCACTGAAAGAGAGAGATGTTGAGACGGAGCCACTAAATGATGCTTAGTACCAACCAACATAGAATTGTCAATAGTTATACGAGGTTCAAAACAACTTGGAACACTTAGTTTATTGGCACAGATCCATGAGGAACCAATCGTCCGCCTGGCTACACAAAAGATAGTTTATTGGCACAGATCCAAAAGGACTCTCGTCCCCAAATCGCCTTCTTTTTCATGATGTAATTTTTGCTACTGTTTTCGTAATTTTGTCGAGCTGTACAAGCATTTGTTTAAGATCGTATTTTTGTCCAACAACTTTGGTCTTTAGTGTGATTCAAGTGTGAACAATACATATATATGATTCTTTTAGAACATCACTTGTCTCGGATAAAAAAGGTGTTTGCAGTGCTTGTAGTTTGGAAATGGTACAGCTGTTCAATTTTGTTGTATACCAGAATTATATTCATAACGGAAGTTGAAGTTGTATTGATTGTTGAAAACACAATTGTGGAAGACAGATGCCTCTACTGTTACCTACTTCGAAACTAAAATTCCTGACATCAACTAAACAACACTATTGAACGGTTGAAATCCCAACCAAATCAACACTTGAAATTTGAAACACCTTGAAGCTGCAAAACATCTGAGATAACAACTGAAACTCAGAACCCATTTGCAACAGCAAACTGAACAGTTGAGCTTGCATCAGACTGAAGAATGGATTACACATTATTAGCATTCAACAGCAATCGTCAATCATAAGTTAGCTTACATATCTGATATATAACACTCGGTGATGGAAACTAAAAGATAAATTACAGGAATATGGAAAGCTGTATATACATTTTTACTGTGATATACAACCAACCATCACATGACAACACCACAATATACACAGTAATATTTACAACAAACGACCTCGTTTTGCAGGTGCTGAGGCAGTTTCCAAGTCCCCGATGAAGAATAAGATTCTGTCGAGGATCCCCATCTGACGGTCATTTCTACCCATTAACTCGTCTCCTGTATATCTTGCAACTGAACTTGTTGAAACATCATCTGTTCCCAATTGCAGACTTCTTGAACCCAAATGTCTTTGAATTTCTCCTTGGTGGATCAGGAAATAGTCATCTCCTTCCCTTATAATCTTCAGCCCCCTGGACACGGTCATTTCAAGAGCACTCCGGATTAATACCCTAAGACATGAAAAAACCCACACACCCCTTTTTGATGACCAAACTGTAATGCTGTTAATTGGTCTATCAATTGTGAAATCTTCAAACTTTGTTTCTATAATAAACAAAGAGTACCCACATGTTTTGCAGGAAGAAGCCTAGCCTTGCAGCAGAACACTAACATCAATTGCATAACACTTGATAGGACACCAATGAGCATGGGGAACATACCGACGGACTTGATGAATAGTTCCAAACAACAAAGGTGAGTTATTAAGCCAGACAAAGGTTTTTCCAAGATGCATTAGAGCTTTAGGAACCCAAATTGTTTAAACAGCGAGATGCATGTAGGTATCGTCCCCCCAATATTGGCATCTGGGAACTATCAAAGAAATAATAGATTACTCCTACTATAGGCATTGCTAATTTACCTTCTTTTTTTACCTTGTTCAAAGCATCACACTGATGGACTGGATATATATATATATGTGTGTGTGTGTGTGTGTGTGTGTGTGAGAGAGAGAGAGAGAGAGAGAGAGAGAGAGAGAGAGGAGAGTTAAGTTAGAAGGAATCTAAACCCTTGATAACCTTTAATCTCAAACTATCCCTTCTTAAGCTTCTCGCCTTTAAATCTCTTCTCAATGGAACCCAACCATATATATATATATATATATATATATATAACTAGGCCAAAGAATGAACAACCAATTGATGAATTACTTACAATCCAACACGATCACACCGGTCTTGAACTGCATATACATCTTTCCATGATTTTGACTCGGTAGGTGCATAAAATATGGCTCGGTCTATTCCCCATCGTTGTTCAAATAGATTAGACCAAAGATCATTTTCTGAAGCCAAGAGCTTCCACTTCCTGCACACTTTAGAAGCAACCAAATATTCTTGTAAAATATGAAATGTCAGATTGTAACTGAGATTCTATCAACAGATAAGAAATTAATTCGTCAAAGTATTCCATAAGAGTAACATATCATATTTGCAAACTCATGAAGCATATAACAGGCATCACCAGGTTTCATAACTGTATGCAACTATAGACCAATTCAACAACAAGTCCTTTACATTTCCCTAAATTTGTCTGATTAGGCTGAGAAAGAATCCAACAGAAATTATAAAGCTGATAATGGTGAAACCCTATCACGACATGAACTCATCAAGCATGTTGTTCCAGGCACTTGTATAGACCAACTCCTTTGGTATATTTCTTCCCAACAGGAAGAGATTTATATCAATTATCGATTAAAAAGGACAAAAACTCTGAAATGTGTATCTGAAAACAGATTCATTGTTGACTATACAGTAAGAACACAGTATTCTTGAATCTAGATCTTGGAGAATTCATAAAACGTTAAAATCAAGCAATAAGCACCCAGACAGTAAATTGATGCCGAATCAATCGCACATAAACGCGGTTAAAATTCATCAAAATTCCGGATAATAATCATGTATATAAACAAAAACTGTATGGAAGATCAGAATCGAGAATTGTGTGAAGGGATGAACCTTGCTGGGCTGTTACGAGGTCCTGATGATCCAATAAGCACAAGATGTTCAAACAAAGATCCGCGGGTAGATTCTCCATATTCTTAACTTGATAAAAACACACACACACACACCCCAAACCTCTCTATCTTCCTCCGTCTGTTGAGGTAACCGTCTACACACAACACAACATCACTGTCGTGTTAGGAGCAAACTCTACTATTTGGTCCATGTGGTTTGCAAAAAAACCGAAAGTGGTCCCTCAACTTCAAAAAGTGCAACAATAATTAATGTGGTATGTACTTTGTTTTGAAAATAAAAAGGTTAGCATACAAATATATGAAGCTTGTGTGCATGTCTACGTCTCCTTTCCTTTTTCACTTCATCGACCACCGCTCCCCATTTTCTCTTCTCCAACATCCATCCCAGGCCATGACCATCCCCTCTTCACCACCAATGAATCTTATTTAGTTTGATGAGGAGAAGAAAGGAAATCGATTTGAAAATACCATATCCATTAACACAAGAATACAATCATAATTCAAAAGATTATCAAGAAATGTACAATTTTTTCTACCTCTACTTACCTTGGTAAAAGTGCAAGCTTCACACACACACACACACACAATATTGTTCTTGATAAAAATATAGTCGGACATAAAAAAAATAATAGGTTTGTGAAGATAATCGAACATGCATTAAACATAGACCCATGAATGGGTTTTGATGAAGATAATTGACGAGCTTGAAATGTTGTAGAAAGCAGAAAAGCAAAAGGTGCAGAAAGTAGAAAGGGAAATGGAAGAGTAAACGAGGCCTTGGGAGGGAGGACATGGTGCTTCATCCAGTGGGGCTCAAGGGACATGCTTTATATACTTGTATGCTAATTTTTTTTACTAAAAGAGGAAGAAGACTGAAATGCATGCCCATCAACTAATAATGTTTGGTTTAGGGACCCTTTTCAAAACAAAATACATACCACGGTGACTATTCTTGCATTTTTTGAAGTTGATGGGCCACTTTCGGTTAATTTGAAAAATATAGGGACCAAAAATGGAGTATACTAACAAAGATGAAATTAGATAAATAATTTATAATTTAATAATGTAAAATGTAAAATTAAGAATGGAAAGGGTCATAATATGATATTATGATATCAATTGGGAAGCACCATGGATCCCTCCGATGGTATCCACTTCGTCTCCTCAACCGACTCTCCCGAGTTCACTCGTCTCAGCTCCTCACTCACTCGTTCCTCCGTCATCGGACTCGACGCCGAATGGAAGCCTGTCCGAGCTCACCAACCCAACTTCCCCACCGTCCTTCTTCTCCAAATCGCCTGTCGACTCGACTCCCACCGCTCCATAGTTTTCCTACTAGACCTGTCGGAGATCCTTCTTCCTTCCGTCTACCACCTGCTAAGAGACGTATTTCTATCTCCTCACATTCTAAAGCTAGGCTTTCGATTCAAACAGGACCTGCTTTACTTGTCATCTACTTTTCGTTCTCAGGGCTGCGATTCCGGCTTTGATAGGGTAAGTATAATGGCTACACTATACCTGAATTTCATAACTAATCACAATTTGTATATGTACTTTTTTAGTATTGATAATGCGGTCTGTCTGAATTTTTTGTATGATCTGAAACTGTAAATGGATTTTACCAGTAGATTATTTATTCGTGACCAACAAGGAAATAGCGGTAGCTTTGAGCAATCGTATCTCACTATTATGATGTTTATTAAGGTGGAACCATTTTTGGATATTGCAACCATATACAGTCATCTACACCACAAGCAAACGACAAGAAAGACAAAGGTTACTAAGAGCCTATCCTTCATATGTGAAGAACTTCTTGGCATGTCTCTTTCAAAGGTTTGTCTTCTTTCCTATTCCTATGCACTTGCATTTATTTGTGGATTTACCAAGGTATATCACAAAGCTATGGGAATCTGCCTTTTACCTTTTGGATCTTACTACTCCAACATATATAAGAATGTGGTATTTTTAATATTCTTTCAGGAACTTCAATGCAGTGATTGGTCACTTCGTCCTCTTACAAAAGACCAAAGGACTTACGCTGCTATAGATGCTCTTTGTTTAATTGAGATATTCAACGTCTTTCAGCTGAGAGTTCTCAAAGAAGGTTTGTGATTCATCTTTTTTAGTTCAGGGTTCTGATTGCTGAGTTTCCGATGATATACCACAGAGTTTGAGTTCAATATGGTGTCAAATGAACTTGGGTGGATACACATCACAGATGCATAAGAGGATCAATTGCTGTTTAGATTATGTAACTGTCAATTACTGCCGCCTCTCGGCCTGGTTGATGTGTCATGTGTGGGGTTAAAGAACTCATAAAAACTATTTCACGTATAAGCAATCATTAGATATCTGTGTGATTTCTTTTGCATATCTTAATCCAAAGTGGAAAAAATTAGTGATAAGATTTGATTTACTATACAGTTGATATTGTTTTGATGTTTTGGATATAATGGTTATCGTTTTGCGTTGCAACTCGGGCATCTGGGAAAGCGTAATCCTACCACTTCAAAATTCTGTCACGTGCTTTGTGTAGATAAAATTCCTTTCACCAAGGAGTTGCTGCTCCTTCTACCTTGAATATATATGGCTTATGCCTGCATATGTCTGTTGGTTGCTGTTCACCTCCATTTTTCTGCTTAGCTGTTTGTCTCAGCTGGGTTATTTTAATGATCTTTGAGTTTCTAGTAAAGCGATAAACATAAAAAGGAGGGTACATTGAAAGTTGACTGTTTAAGTGAGAGGAACTTTGACACTGACTTAAATCTAGAAATATGATGTCTGAGATATTGTTGGTTTATTGGGCTGGGCCAGTATAATGCAAAAACAATGCAAAAGCATTAGTTATTACAAGTTCAACATGTGAATCGCTATCACCTGTAGTATGATTTGCTTGTAGAAGGGTCAGCCCTGCAGTATGCTTTTGCACTCTGGAATATGGCATGCTCATGGTAATTGGACATAGAGGCTACCAATGCTATGATTATGCTTCCAAAAAATCGATATTGGTGAAAAATGATATATATTTTCTTTTACCAAAAAAATGTTCTCTTCACTGCAGGAGCTTTTCGAAATCTCACTGAACTTGATAATTCAAGTTTAAATCTCGGGTTGAAGCAGATTCTTAAGGAACCTAATATTTCTTCTAGAATATTGAGGACCACATTTTGTGATGCTGTAGAGATGGTTAGAGCTACTACAATTGAATACCCTCAAAGACCACATGCTGAACAGGGAATAAGTTTAAGGAAATCAAGTTGGGTTACGCTACCCATGGATTACACACTTTTGCAGATTGTAAGAGGATATAGCGACAAAATAGTATTGACGGAATCAGATGGAAAGCCTGGAACATCAAAAAAGAAAGGAAAAAGGAAGTCATCCACTGGCTTTACTTGCAAAGAAAAACGAGTAGATGATATTGATGAATGGCGAGGCCCAGCACCATGGGACTATTTATTGGGTGGGGATGGATTCCCAAAGTTTCTGTGTGATGTGATGGTAAGCAGAACCCATCTTCCTTTTTCTGTTGTTACACTATTTTTGAATTGATCCCAAGCTATATGTTACTCCCTTTCCAAAACAATTGTATCGAAAACATAGTTTAGAAGAAGTGATTGATTGTAGTCAAATGTCACAAGTACTATTCAACAATTAAAAAGCTGAGCAATATTGTGAGAATGATTTCAATCAGCGAATAGGTAGCTTGTAATTTGGCCAAAAAAGGAATGTTTTTGGACATACAAAAATTGAATTATTCTGGAAGGAAAGAGTAATAGTAAAGGTAGAAGGCACCAATGAAGCCAAGCTACCAGTGATGGGTGGCAGCATATACCTGTGGCTGCAATCCGTTTTTAGAGCTGATCAGCTTACATGATTAGATTTAGGTGATCAATAGGATGACCTCAGTTTTCTCTTGTTCTTGTGCTTATCATCAAGGAGTTGTACACTATTAGTTCCATTAATTGTTTTTTGCACACCAGGTAGAGGGCTTGGCAAAACACTTGAGGTGTGTTGGAATTGATGCTGCTGTTCCCTATTCTAGAAAGCCAGAAACCAGGTAATGCTTCTGCAACGCACTTTATCTCCCTTCAAAGAATATGTTGACTATTCTATAAGTCAAGTTCAAAAGGTCGGATATGGTTATTCTGTAACGGGGGAAGTGAAATGAATTTCTTCACTGTCATCCTCGCTCTACACCAACTTACCACCATTACTGGATCGCTGGAGTCAGTTTTATTTAATAAGTTCGTAGAGATTTTTGTAAAATTGAAACTGTAGTGATTTAATGGTTTCGTTAGCTACTTTACAACTAGAATCGTTCTGCCTAATCTAAATCCTCCACCACTGTAAACCCCAATTAGAATCAGGCATGCTACAAATTTTTGTTATTGGAAATTGTACTTTTAAATATTTCTTTCTTATTCCTATTTTTTTTTCTAAAGATTTCTTTTCTATCCTTTTTTCTCCATCTTCAGGGAGTTAATAGATCAAGCTATCAAAGAGAAGAGAGTTCTTTTGACAAGAGATGCCAAGCTCTTGAGACATGAATATCTGTTAGGAAATCAGATATATAGAGTGAAGAGTCTTCTAAAAAATGACCAGCTAATTGAGGTATTGATTAGTTTAAAAACAAAAAATACAAGATTGCTACTTGTTGAAGAGGTTAGCGGATAAATTCTACCACACTTGATGTTCCAAGTCAATTTTTAATATTGTAGTTAATTACAAGGGTTCTTCCCAAGTTTAGTTTAAAAATAAAAAATACAAGATTGCTACTTGTTGAACAGGTTAGGGGATAAATTCTACCACACTTCATGTTCCAAGTCGATTTTTAATATTGTAGTTAATTACAAGGGTTCTTCCCCAAGTTTCTAATGTTGTTAATTGAGTCCCTATTTGGAAACGTATCCGTGCTTTATTTACCTCAAATGGTCCGACCTATTACTTCTTTAAGGGCCAAACCTTGTAGCAATGGTGAGGTTACTTCTTTGTGAAATTCCAATTATGGGTTTGAGTAATGAAAACAGCTTGTATAGCACCAATATTTTTTTCCTGAATGTACTGTTTTATATGGTTTAATCAGCTGTTACTTATTTCTTGAAACTTCAGAGAATTCATCTATAGTCCATCCAACCTTAAAGGTCATCTACATCTATTTTTGGGTGGCAAATGACAGACGACCTTATCTAACATTAGCAATAAGTATAGTGACCAAAGTTGAATGGATATTCCGCATAGAAGGTTAGAAAGAGTGTAGGCCAGATTTTGCTGAATATATTTCAGGTTGTTAATATCTTGATTCTCTGAAAGCTTAGTGTTAATCTAAGGGGTCCAATGGTCTTTACTTTGGTTTAGATTAAGATGTTATAAATCTTACAAAGTGATGCAAGTAAGTGTTGGAGGGTGGTTTATTTTGCATGCAGGTGATAGAAACATTCCAGTTGAAAATTTGTGAGGATCAGCTGATGTCAAGGTGCACTAAATGCAATGGCAGATTCATCCAGAAACCTTTATCAATTGAAGAGGCGATTGAAGCAGCAAAGGGGTTTCAAGTGATCCCTAACTGTTTGTTTGACAGGAACATCGAGTTCTGGCAGTGCACAGACTGCAATCAGCTTTACTGGGAGGTATTTTTGATTCTATGTTGGTGTTTCAACCGTTATGAGATGATTGAATCATTCATTTGGTTTGATTCTTGTGTATGTGAGCAATTTCAGTAAGCTGTTGTGCGTGTGTGGGTTGCAGGGAACCCAATACCACAATGCAGTACAGAAATTCATTGACGTGTGCAAAATATCAAGTGCATGAAGGTGGTGACTGATTGTTGTGTTTTGGTTCCAAAAGATTTTGAGTTCAGTATCCCATGACATGGATGGAACTACAGTCTACAGCAGAAGGGGTTGGGTTGTGAGTTCGAGTCTTTGTATAAGAAAAGTTATTGTTATACCCTTGAAGATGCATAATCTTATCAAACTGATAATCGTTAAAAGTGCTTGTCCAGTTCTCATTACTGTTTCCATTATCTCTTAAACAAACAAAATCTTTGTTTGATTAGATAGATACACAATTTGACTAAAAATATCGATAATATAGAATTTATAACTGGTGTAGAATTGGTGGATTATGGTCAGTTTTTTTATTGACATTTTTTTTTGTAATTATTTAAATAAACTAAATTTTTATATAAAACAATATGTTTTATAAATGAGAAAAGTTTAAAAAAACCCAATGGATTTTAGCGTTTGGAACAAATAAGTTTTTGGACATTTTAAAATATGTTAAATAACTTTTTTGGACTTTTTAAAATCTGTTAGATACATTTTTATGATTTATACAACTAGTTAATATAGTAAAATAATAAAAAAATCTCAAAAAAACGCAATAGACTTTTATATTTAGAATGATTAGGGCTTGTTTGTTTTTTAAAAAAAACCACTTAAGACGTTTTTATTTTCAGACCGTTTGTTTTTTTATATAAATAAGAGCTGAAAAGCTCTTAATTTGCTCTGGAAAAAAAAAAAATGATAACATAATCACTTAAATCCTCTTAATCGCTCCCTCCAGATTCTCCCCTCCATCCTCACCTCTAGATTTAGTCCTCCAAATCTATCTCGCAAGACATTCGATCTCCAAATCAATCACAACCCAGATCGATTAACATATTCTCGTAAAATCATGACCCAGATCGATCCAAATCTATCATATCCAAAACTTGACTGATTCATATTTCAGATTTCAGACATAAAAACAAACAGTCTGACTGATTCAGATTTCAGACTTCAGTACCACCTCTTAAAATTCAGAAGTGAAATCAGACTTCAAAACCTCTTAAAAAACAAACGCCACCTAAATCTCTAAAATATTTTTTGAACAAAAAAAAATACCTGCATCTCTAAAATGAAACAAATATACCAAAAAATACTTATATTTATAAAAAGTACTTGCATTAAAAAAAGATTATTAATGACATAATATTTTTACTTTTAATTAAAATAAATTTCATTAATTTTTTTTTTAAATATAAGTATTTTTTTGTAAATTGTAAGTACTTTTTTGATAATTTGTTTCATTTTATAGATGTAAGTACTTTTGGTTCAAAAAAATTTAAGAACTTAATCGTTCAAAATATGAAAAATCATTGAGTTTTTTTCATACTTTTTTATTATTATTTTACCATATTAACTAGTTTTGTAGATTATAAGAATGTAACTAACATGTTTTAGAAAGTTCAAAGAGTTATTTAATAAGTTATGTAAAGTTCATTGAGTTTTTTTAGACTTTTTCTTTATAATCTTAACTTATTTTTCTAATTATTCTTCTTTAAAATATATTCTATGCACGTATATAAATTATTTTTAAATAAGATATACATACAAAATAATTAAATTATTTAAACATTAAATTCCGCAATTTCTTAAAATTATAATTGTAAACCACACAAAATTCATATAACATATTATAATATGCATGGTTAATAACATAATACAAATAAAATTATATATTTAATCGTCTAAAGTTTTCGTATTTTTTTATCCTACAAATTGTCTAAATCTTACATTATATTATATTATTATACCATGTATTAATCTTTTATTTGAAATTAATGTTTATAATATAAATAAACTCATATATCATGTATTTATTAAATAAAAATAATTAGAATGTATGTAATACACGAAAAATCGTATAAAAATAAAAGTTAAGATTAGAAATATAAAAAGAAATTTAAAGACTTTTAATCTCAAACTCACATGATGCATCTCATTTTAATATAAAATGCAACTTTTGATGGAAATCGTTGTTATATTAAGTCTTATTTTTACTGAAATTCAATGATATATGTAGAAAATTAAAAAGGTTAAAATGTTTGAAAAATGGATTTTGAGGCATGGTGATGGGACTTTGGATTCTTTTCTTGTTTTGGCACTCCACTTTACTTGATGACACGTTTCGATTTCTAATTGGAGGTCTTCCTATTTTTCTTTTTCTTATCTAAACACAAATGCTTAATAAATCATGAATGAATTCTGATACATGTTTAATTAGCAAATAGCTTTTGTAATTGTAGCACCGCCAATTAAGCTATGTTGTCGTAATCAACAAGGTTTCCTTGTCATTCCAAGTGGATCCCACTCCCCTACCGCCATTTCCCTTTTTCCAAACTTTTCTTTCTTTCTTTTTTTATTTTTTATTTTATTTTTAAAAACAAACAGTGATTATGATTAAAATGTTAATTAAAAAGAATTGTTTTGATTGGTATTTAAGTAGCTGAGAATGTGTTTGATGAATTCTGTAATGACACAAACACCCCTCTCTCTCTCTCTCTCTCTCTCTCTCTCTCTCTCTCTGTAACACAGTGAGAGACGTATAACCGGATCTCTTCTCCTTCTTCCTCAATTAATTTCTCTCTCATGGATAATCATGCTAATACTACTGCTCGCTTGTCTCATAAGGTAAATTAACTACCATATATAATCAACCCCATGCAACCATTTAATTCTAGCTTTACAAAATTAATCATATATATGATGATGATGATGATGATGGGCTGCTTCAATTCACATGTTTATTGCTGGATCCATCCAAGATCTTTCAACTTATGCTGTTTGTTTGTTTTTTTTTTTCTTTATCATTTTTTATGACCATATCTGGCCTTAATTAGTTTTGGGGTTTCTTTCAACTTATTATTATATATGCTGTTTGATTGTTGGTAGTTTTTTAGATCATATATATTTTTCTTTAAAGTAGCTTTGTTAGTACTATCGTTTAATTAGTAGCTGCACAAAACCCTTTTTCTGATCACCATCTAATCCTTAATTAAACAGACACAAAGTCAAAGGGTTGTGATCCTCATCTCCTTTTCTTTTTTTGCATGGTTGGTTTTCAAGGAATTAGCAGGTGGAGTGCAGGTGAAGTCTATGGAAGAAAAGAAAGCAATAAGAGCAGAAAAGCCACAAGCTTTGAACTGTCCCAGGTGCACTTCATCACATACAAAGTTCTGTTACTACAACAACTACAATCTCTCTCAGCCAAGGTATTTTTGCAAGACCTGTAGAAGGTATTGGACTGCTGGAGGCTCTCTCAGAAATGTTCCAGTTGGTGGTGCTTCAAGAAAGAACAAACGATCATCATATGATGATGATGATGATCACATCATGATCATGCCTCCTGCATCACAAAACCCTAGTCATCATCATATCATCCAAAACCATGGATCTGCATATCACCTAAACTCCACATGCTCATCTATGGGATTCTTCAAGACTGGTAGTACTAGTGCAGGAAATGATTATGAAACAGGAATGATGATGATGATGAATTCATTCATGCCAGCGTCTTCCAACGTTAACCCCATGGTTTGTGTGGATGGGTTTCATAAAAAATATGATGATGATGATGATGATGAAAACAATATTAATGATCATCAAGATACAACCAACACAGCTGCTGCTAGTACAGGTGCAAGACTGTTTTTCCCCTTGGAAGATTTGAAGGCATCAACTAGTCATCAAGTGCAAGGACCAGGAGATGATTCTAATTCATATTGGAGTGGAGGGGGATCATGGTAAATTAATTACTTTTAATCTACTGCTTTTCTTTCTTAATTACTGCTATGTAATATACATACTTAATTAATATCATCACGCCTTGCTCAATTTCAATTTCATGTTTTAATCATCCATCGCCCGATTGTAAGTATATATTCACTGAACATTAAAATAAAAAAAAACTACTATATTATCCATGCCGCTAAGGTCATTTGAATCCGTACAATTACAACCCAATTTCTTTAACTATCATCTCACTTTTAACCCATCAATCTAAATATCTGTATTATAAACTTCAAAATTTTAGTTATAACTATAGTAATAGCATATTTTTATTTTACTAATCTAATTAAATAATGAGTTATATCCTTACATTTATAGGCAGAAACATCATCTGAAAAGAGAGACTATGGTGAGAAACATAAAAACCCTTTCATCACTTGTAATCTTATGTCCACCCATAAATTGCGGTTTAAATGAGAATTGATCTCGGTGAACCTTATTAGTATTGACATTCAGTAAAGATCTTTTCTTACATTTCTCACTTGAACTCAACCCTACAATTATTTTTGTTTGTTTAACGATATTCATTTAAAATTATATTTAAGATGGCTTTTTTAATCGTATATAAGATTTATGATGGATTCTATTATACCAAAGAAAGAATGCAACAACAATTGGAGATTGAGATAAATCGATAATATACCAAGGAGAGAACAACGTAAAAATCAAAAGTTGGTTAAGAACATGATGGAAATTAACAAAAATAAACGTTAGTGAGTTTTTAAATTATCAAAACATTTTGATCAATTTTTAATTTATCAAAACCAAGAGCTAGCTTATCAACTAGCTTGTCCAACATAATCTTAAACCAAATCTATTGTAAATGATACCAATTGACATTTTTTTTTTCAATAACAAGAAAATGTAATTGGAACTTTCGATCAGTTTTTAACATCACTAGTAATGATTTGGTGAAAGAGCCATGTTCCTAAGATGGCGAGAGTTGAACAATAGTAAAATAGAAACAAAAAAAAGAGATCATTGTTTGGTCTTATCATTACTATTTTCATGATATATATATATATATATATATATATATATATATATAATATCCGAAGAAGAATTAAAATGAAAAACGTAATAAGAAATCTGGACCCTTTATCACATTTAATCTTAAATCCACTTATTAATCACGCTTGATACGAGAATTGTTCCAATACATCTCATCCTAATATGCATCCAAGGTGGAGGTCTTTTCTTACGTTTCTCACCTTAATTCTCCTTCTCACCGGAACCCAACCCAATTATACACAGAGATTAACAGATGGACAAATGTACGACACGGGATGCACATCGTACACCTTTTAGCATCGTTTGGGTCGAAATGAAGAGACTATTTTCACTCTCCATTGTAATCATTTTTCAAGCCCCTTTTTTTCTTGGCTTTCTTTCTTTGAGTCATCAATTCATCATAATCACTTAGCATTTTTTTTAACAATTAAATTTACAATAACCATACAAAATGAAACAATCAAATGTGACCTTGTCAATATAGGTCTAGTGACTCAAGCACCCTGCGAGCTTGGATGTGAAGAGCTGTGAGTCTTTGGCCAGGATCAAGGGTCGAACCAAACTGACTTGCAGCCCATATCAAAGACGCAGATTTCTCACCCAACAGACGCCTTATGTCATCGTGTATGGCTGCCATCGGAGGACCTTCCCTCCCATTTACATGCCCAATCAGTAACAACAAGAACTCTCCGCATTTCAGCCTAACAACAACATTCTGTCTCAGTTTACTTATAATCATTATGAATACCAACAGCAAAAAAGCACGAACAGAGGTTCAAAATTAAGCCTATCACAGGCCAACTACTTCCATTTGGACCTCATCGTCACACTAGCAGATACAACAAGGCTACTTTACAAAGAACGGCTTTATATGGACACTTTGCACAAGACTCGTCATCCAACAACACAGTTATCAAATAAACATGCAGTGGCTAATTTTCATCATACGCACAACCACCAAGAAAAATGATATAACGGAAATCATGTGTGGAGCAAGATGTAAGATCTACTGCACATCGATTACGGATATGAATTTTGCAATCCTTACAAGCCTTAAGTAATGAGATACAACTTCTCACCATGAGTTCTAAGCTCATCTGGAGGTTATTACGCCAACCCACTACTTTTATCTCGGACTGTCACAATGGTATAGAACAAGTTTGATATATAACAGATTGGAATTATGCATCTCCTGCGGACGATGATTCTGAGATTTTGTTTGGGTTTCTTTGGACGTCTGAAGAGAACATAGAGAATTTAAGTATGTGGTGTCCCCACGAGGTGTAACCGGTTGCAATTATGCATCTACCACAGATGTTCCATTCAAGCCTTCCCTAATGGGCTACTAATAAGTTCAAACCACGGTTTTAAGTTGATTTGAAGGTTATCTTTATTATTTCATGTTGAAGTTGCACTCTCAAATTAGAGGGTGTCTTATGATAACTTAATCGCAGAGTTGAAAGCTTACCTCAAATTCTCATCCACTTGTTTGTCTCCTATAAGCAATGCAACTTCCTCGATGCCATTACAATCCTCAAAATCCTGGTATCATCAGTCGACCACAAAAGAGCAGGTTGCTTAGTTAGAGAATCATCGGTAAAAACTGAAGAAGTTTTAGACAAAATAAGAATGATAAAACAGGCGACCGAGGGATTAAGCAAAAATACGGGACCATCTTTAGTACATCAGTATGTTTACTTGTTACTGTTGTAAAACCTTCTTAAGCCCATTTGTTGTTAACTTGAACATCATATAACAAGAAACATACCATTTGATTGAGGGGAGAGTCCAACATTATTGAGATAAGAGCATCTAAGCAAGACCCTTGCTCAAGCACTCCTCGTGTTGCTAATATGTTCATCAAAACCTGCATTCAAATGCATCTTGTGTGTTTTGTTAAACTTGACCTTCCTATGTTCTCTGAAACGGAACATCTAGAAACATATTTCTTTGACCATAAACAATATCTAAATCAAGCGTCACATTTTCAATTGACATGCTTTATTCTCAACCTCAAACCAATCCCCCAAGATAATTCCGGAAACTGCCAACACAACATCTATATAATCAAAGATTTTAAGATAAAAACCCTTAGATGAAACTTTGTGAACTGGCTGCCGCTAAAGAATTATTTTTGAGAACAAAAAGTGGGAGAGAACTTCATGGATGGGATGCATGTTTATGTTCAGGATGCTACTGCAGAATTCATTTCATGTTTGCGATTAATTTCAATAGTTAATCCACACCAAGTACTGAGAAGCAAAGGCTCCTTCTCTGCATCTTTCTTTCATTTTTAAGTTTACCACTAAAGTTCACCCGCTATTTATTTGTGGTTATTACATGAATGATGTCATGTGAAAATTTTAAATACCCTCATAGCTACATTATCTCCAGGGAGCTTGGGGAGGGGGGGGGGGGGTTCCTCCCAGTAGTTCCACACGTATACTCATAGTAAATGTATGAATCATAAATAACTTATTTCTTTTATTGTTTTGGTTTTAGACATGTATATATACACACATGTACACATACATAAGCACTCTTGGAATTTCTGCCTCCCACGAACCACGCACCATAGCCCCTTACTTGTATCCTTGCAACATAAAATGTACATTTAACATTTTTCATTTGTTTCTTGAACTACAAATTACCCAATTGTGAGTGGCATTTATAGAATGTGCTACTCATCGCTACCTAAGCCAGTTGTATCCACTTAACTTCACTGATAGAAAAGCTCAAGAAACACAAACTTCTATTTCCCTCCACCTCTTTGCCCTATACGTATTCATGATGTTATGGAGAACAAAGATAGTGCATATACATGATTCAACAATCACTTAATATGAAGGCTCATGGGATCCACCTGAATAGCCTTGAACTGATGGGCTAAAATCGTGCTCTCCTTGTGGAGTAAACAACATCCTTCCAAAACTCTTAGTGCAAGTGAAACTTCAGTATCAGTAGAAGGACTTTTTATTTTCAAGGGTTCAACACTGAAAATGTGATCCAAATTGCTCACTATCTGATCCTCCGTCTCTTGTAAAGAGTGTTGAAACAGAGCTGGGACCACTATGAAGCATCAAAAGAACACAAAACGGATTTTAGTTCCTTTGTATCATAAATCCTACTGTAAACCCATAAAAGTAACCAAATCTGATCAAAGCCATAATTCGTCACAGCTCAACAAGTTGCAGGACAGTTGTCCAAAATTTAGATACATATAGTGCCTGATAAACATAGATCTCAATTTGGTAACTCAATATCAAAAGAAGAAACGATAACAATTCACTGTAATTGATATTATATTCAAACTCGTACACGTTGAACTAACATTAATAGTGGCCTAGTGAATACACAATTTAAGCATCCGGACTAACAATGAGTCAAAGATATGATAGGCCTCCGTTTGGTTATTATTTCCTAGCACGATACCAAACAGCAAAAAGTAACAGAAAACTCCTAACTGATTTCATTCAATTTTAGTTCCTTCCGCCGGCAACTCCTTGAGATCGATGACAGTAGCTATACCAGATCAACATTGTAGGTCAACTAATCAGATTATATGCTAATAAGTTATCTTAGTAAGCAAAGGTAATGGTTATCCAAGAGATGAAATAAAATACAAAACATTAAAGAGGGAAATAATGAATAGTTGTCACATATGATTATATGAACTCCAAATACATAGTTCTGAACTGATCTGATCTTTTTCCAAATATCCTGATTTGCACAATGTGGCGTACAGTACCTTGGAGAGCCGTAATGGATTGGCTGTTGCAGAAAAGGTTGATAGTGGAATCGGAGGCCGCGACGGATCGAAGGAATTTAAGGATGTTACCAAGGCCATGTAGTCGTAGAAATGAGAAATCGGAGCGTGCGTCACGGAGTCCGGTTCGTAGTGCGAGAGTTACCTCCCTGTAGAGTCTTTGATCGTCGAGTGAGCTCACCAGATCAGTCACCGGCGAGGGCACCGTCGTGTCCGGCGATTTATCATTATTCTCTGTCCCCGATTTCAGTACTTCGCTCCAAAAGGCCTTCTTTAGGTACATCTCTATCCCGTCTCCCCTCTCTCACATCACACACACAGAGACAACGGACGCACACTGGTATGGTATGAGATAATGAGAATGAGAGGGATCTGATAATCATGGGCCTATAAATGGATCAACCAAAAACCACCAAAGGCCCAATCGATCCGATCCAATTCATTGAAAATTATTAAAGTTATGGGCCGTTTACGAAATATTTACGTGGTAAGTGCTTATCGACAAAAAGTAACACTATCATTTACTTATCGCGTAAGATTTTAGTCCATCAAAACGGCATCGTATGCAACAATTTACCTGGTAAGCACTTACCATGGTAAGAGTCGTTGCCCTCACTTACCGTGCAAGACTCTTGATTCTTGTTTTGCTCTTACCGGGTAAGATTCTTGGTTCTTACCATATTCATCGTATAATGTAATGTGATTTGGTAAGCGTTTACTCAAGTAAGCATTTGGTAAACGGCCCCTTAGTCATCTTTTGGAATGATATGAGTATGAGATATATCAGAATAAAAGGAGATTATGAATGTGAGAATGATATATTTGTTGTAGTTCTTCTATAAAAACAATATTTTAGGGGTTTTTTTCATTAATCTAGTTACTTATTTTAAGAAAAATAAAAAAAGTTTATTAATTATTAATGTTAGGTGATTTGATTAAAATGAATATTTTATAATGAATTAAATGTTGAATTACTGTTTTTTAAAATCGATAAAATGAAATAGAAATGGTTATTGCAATTGGGATGGAAAAGTCGGAAGCCGATATTAAGCCCCAATTCGAGTCCACCCCCCATAAAACTTGAATTAGGGCGCCAATTGAAAATCGCTGGCCGGGATTTCCCGCGAACTCGATACATATATATATAATGTATATATATCTACGCAGACACTTCCACCTCTTCACTCCCTCTAGATTCCCACCTTCGTAAACGATGGCTTCTGCGCCAAGAGTGGTAGCTAGACGGAGGACCCAAGCTACTAATTCCATCCGATCTTCATCTAGGAAAAGATCGAAATCTAAGAGCGCAGATGAGTTCGAGTACGACGATACAAGATGTGAGGAATGTGGGTCGGGTGACTTTGGATCGGAACTCCTACTCTGCGACCAGTGTGACCGAGGGTTTCACTTGTTTTGCCTCAGACCTATTCTTGCTTCTGTTCCATCGGGGTCATGGTACTGTCCATCTTGTTTCGCTAATCGCAAGACCATTGCAAGTATGTTATCTTTTTTATTTAATACAGTTTACATGTTTTGCATTTTCCCCATTTGATTTTTGTGTATTAGGGTTTTTTCGTTTTTCGTTGTGCAACTAAAAAGTTATATTATTGGCGATGCTGAATTAAATCGTACAAAGCGCCTCATCCATTATTGGGATCTTGGCTTGAGTGAAGAGATCCACATTGCAACCCTATATCCCACTCGTAGAGTTATGGGAATTTTGGGGTTCTACGATATTGACATCTTTCGTTCGATAACAGTACTAATACGGATTCGATTCATATATTATCGAGCGACGATTTGTCATTACTTAATAACTGTATATACAACTTGGGTTGTTTGTAACCAAGTTAACCAAAGTTTATGGAAAAAGAACCCTAAATTCTATGATACGAGCCTTGGAGCTCTTGTGTAAATTTGTGGTTGCTTTTGGAGTTTTAGCATCTGGATTATCATTTATGTATTATTATTATCTTTCAAATGGTATGCAACAATATCCTATTGTATAGATCAAATTTGGTTCAGAAATAATTGATGCACCTCTAACAAGTTTATGTATTGCTCTACATTCAGGATTCCCGTTGGTTCAAACCAAAATTGTCGACTTTTTTCGCATTCAAAGGACCTCACAGTCAAGTGAAAAAGTTTGCCAAGGTAGAAAAAAGATCATGAATTCATGTCTTTTGATGTTCCATTACTTCATGGTTATGCATTCCATTACAGAAAAAGATTGTTCATGCTTATTTTATTATCTCATCCTAGATGCCCGTAAGAAAAGGCGAAGGACAAGTAGCCTAGCAACATCAAAGAAAAAAAGAAGGCTATTGCCCTATAGTCCAAGTGAGGATGCTGCAAGAAGATTGGAACAAATGGCATCACTAGCAACAGCATTGACAGCAACAGGAGCTGAGTTCAGTAATGAGCTCACATATATTCATGGCATGGCTCCTAAGCTAGCAAACTGTCCTGCTTATGAGAAGGGGGGAATGCAGGTAAGTCTTCATTTCTTTTAAGATTTTTATGCAAGTTTCTTCACTCTAAACTGGATGATGACGAGTTAAATGACTAATTGATCAGGTTTTATCAAGAGAAGACAATGAGGCTCTGAATCTATGCAAGAGTATGATGGGAAAGGGAGAGTGCCCACCTCTTATGGTTGTTTTTGATCCTGTGGAAGGGTGAGTGGAGTTTTGCTAAATATTCTCTATCTTTGTCCTTTTGGTACTTGATGATGAGATTAATAAATCGAGCCTGGCTGTATAATTGTAACAGTTTCACTGTAGAAGCTGATAAATTTATTAAAGACTTGACAATAATCACTGAATATGTTGGAGATGTTGATTACTTGGAACGTCGAGAAAATGATGATGGAGATAGTATCATGACTCTACTTTGTGCTGCTGATTCATCAAAAAGTCTTGTAATTTGTCCTGACAAACGCAGCAATATTGCTCGATTCATCAATGGCATTAATAATCACACACCGTAAGTCCTGTTTGGCTTGTGATGTATTCCACTTAAGAATGGATTAACATGTAACTAATTAGTAAATTTTGTTGTATACAGAGAAGGGAAAAAGAAGCAGAATTTGAAGTGTGTGAGATTTGATGTAGATGGTGAAGCAAGGGTGTTGCTGATAGCAAACAGAGATATATCAAAGGGAGAGAGATTGTACTATGACTATAATGCATATGAACATGAGTACCCTACCCATCATTTTGTATGACCCTGACCCTCTCCCCCTATTTTTGTTATATACATTGAGTTTAACCACCACCACCACCACCACCACCACCACCACTCTTGGTAGAATTTTTGAGTAGATGTTTACTTGAGCTTCTTCAAGTGGTACAATTATTTACAGAAATGAACTGGCATGATTTATATCCAAATGGTTGGGATGAAGGACTTGAAACCTTGGATTTGTTTCAATGGTTGAGAAAAGAGTTATTGGGGTTGTATCTTGACTTTGTTTTTTTTCTTGCAAGATTTTGTACTGTATTGGTATGACTTGATGGGAAAATTACATAGATAATCTTTCTTTTTTTTAATTAAGTATTTTTATTTTAGTTTGTTTTAAAAGTATTGTTTTTTATTAGAAGTAAATATTGTATATTCAGTAACTGTTGTGATCTTTTTTGTATTGAAGAAAATGGAACATAAACACTATCACTATTTTCTAATAAATCTTTTATCAGTTTGAAATAATTCAATTATAAAAAATCTTTTTTTATATGATATGATTAATTATCGAAATAAAAAATGGAGAAGAGATGATCTAATCCGTTAAACCAGTTAGCGGTCCGCATTCGCCCTCCTCTGCTGTCTTATCTTCGGAGCTTCACCTCTCTTCCACAATTCTACCTCGTCTTCCAACCTCCATCTTCTGTCATCAATGGCTTTATGGAGCCCACGCATGCAGAGATTTCTACTCAACAACAACGTCAGTAACTTCAATTTGAAGAAGACTAGTAATAATAATAGCAATATAATTTTGAAAAACTGGAGTAGACAAGGCAGCCTCAGGTGTTGTTCGGCGATTGCAATCGACGCGCCTTCTTCTCTCTCCGACGGCCTTGCCTCTGGGATCAGATGGGGTTCCGCCAAATTACAGGGTGCCCGCGAGGAGATGGAGGACGATGCTGTTATAGTCGCGTCATCGTCTAATAACGAGCTTGACGGTTTCCATTTTGCTGCTGTTTTCGATGGCCATGCGGGATTCTCTTCTGTCAAGTTCCTCAGGTTTGTTTTTGCTTGATTAGTATCTTTAAGCTAACAATCATGGGAATCATCTAGAAAACCCCTTTTTTAGAGGATTAGAATTGATACAAAAGTATTTTGATTTCATGATTTTCTAAGTTTTACTTATCCCTTCAGCTGGTAAGATAATATCTGTGAGTCCGATTTAGACTCTCAACTTAGTGGTAGTTTCATCAAGCTTAGGAGCATACAGACACATTTTTCTTACTTAGAATGTATTTAGGAACTCCAATGTTCTGGATTGAAGCAAATTCAGTTCAAATTGATCCATGCCTTGAACTCCAGACTAGCTAAGCATATCCCACTCACATGTTGAGATTATAAACCAGTAAACCAGAGTTAAAACACTTTTCAAAATTGCTGAGTTGGGAGTTGTGCTGTTTCATAAGGAACTTTTCCATTTTGCATATAAGATTGTACCAGAAACTACATGCTGTACAGTGTGGTTTATCATTCGAAGATGATATGTTCTGGAAATATTTTGATATGTATGTCAATCACAGGGAGGAGCTATACAAGGAGTGTGTCAAGGCTCTACAAGGGGGGATATTGCTGAGTAAAAAAGACTTGACAGAAATTGAAAAGGCATTGAAAGAGGCTTTCATGAATGCTGATGCCAAACTTCTGAATTGGTAATTTAACATATACTTACACTTACAATTTGTATTGTCTCAAGAAATTGTCAAAGGAGTCAGTATGATTTCATTTTCTGTATTATTGCGTTGAAGGTTTAGATGCTGTTTCATTTTGTAAAGGCTTGAGATGAGCGGGAAGGACGACGAATCTGGTGCAACAGCTACCACTATGTTTGTAGGAAATGACATGCTATTCATCTCCCATGTTGGTGACTCGTGTGCGGTATGTCCCTGATACTTTTTTTAAATTTTTATGCTTGCTTTCACTCTAGATGTTATTTTCATGTTTAAAAGAGGCATAGAATGCAATTCCTGATTTTTGAGCCAAAGTAGTGGGATGAAGGGTGTAGTTAGATCTGTTTTTTACACTTGCAGTTTCTGGCAAACTTCTTGGCAGGTACTTTCAAAATCTGGAAAACCAGAAGTGCTGACCAATTCTCACAGACCCTATGGAAGACACAAGGTTTCTCTTCAAGAAATTAAGCGAGTCAGAGAAGCAGGTGGATGGGTGTGTTATTCTGTTCTTATTTTCTATTTATTTCACTGTTTCACTTGCTTCGTTTTATGTGATGGTTTGATGATAAAAAGATCTCCAAAAACTATGGCAGAGTCGATCACCTATACTTTAGTTGCAAGGATCGAACTTATATTTATACATTGCAACTTCTCAAACAACTCTAATTGACAAATAATATTGATTTCAGTTTCTTGAGTATAGCATTTTCGTGTTTCTGATATCAATACGGTTCCAAGAATCGACACTCAATATTTCTCTAGTTGAATTCTCTTATTAGAATTATGGTGACTTAGTTGTCACCTATGCCTGAGGCCAGTATAAATTACAATGAACTCCTTTGGTTTGCACAGCTTATCTATTTTTGTACATGGTCTTTGTAGATTGTAGATGGAAGAATTTGTGGAGATATCTCTATATCCCGTGCCTTTGGGGACATGCGATTTAAGACAAAGAAGAACGAGTAGTCTCTCTATTTCTTGTTTAAATCCTTATTTGTCGTTGATATGTGGATATAGTTGTTGTAAATTACATTGACATCCCCTTTAACTATTGAAAGGATGCTGGAAAAAGGAGTTGAGGAAGGTAGATGGACTCAAAAATTTATATCCCGGTAGGTTTTCTGATACTTTTTTGTGTAGATAGATTTATGTGAGGACTTTTCTCGTCTGCTTTCTTGTAAATTGGGGTTTATCTGTTACAGCATACGGTTTGTGGGAGACTTGGTTATTGCTACTCCTGATATTTATCATGTGACAATGGGGACTGATGCAGAGTTTGTACTGTTAGCAACTGATGGCTTATGGGATTACATAAACAGGTTCAATTTCACCTTCTCTATTTTTCATTTTCATGGCATGGTGAAATGGGTCAAACTAGTTTTCTTCTTGCCACGTTAACTTTGGGATGAACAAATTCGACTATTTTCAGTTCGGATGCTGTCAACTTTGTCAGGAACCAACTTAGGGAACATGGAGATGTGCAGGTAACCAGTTTTCTTTGTAACCGTCAATGGATTGTTTTGTTCCAAGAAAATTTGCATAACTTAGTTTTGTTGGTACAGGTTGCATCTGAAGCTCTAGCTCAAATGGCATTGGTAATGACTTGTGGAGACATTTTCACCTTTTGATTTGGTTACCCTTCTCACTTGACTCGCCTTTTATTGCAGGACCAATATTCTCAGGATAATGTAACCATTGTCATTGCTGATTTGGGGTATGCATTTCATATTGGTATCTATATAAATTGGCAATCCCTTTCACTTCTCTAAACCTAGTATCTGTTGTTGATAGGCGGACGGATTGGCAAAATATAGCTATACAGAAACAAAACTTTGTGTACGAACTCATCCAAGCTTTTGCTACCATCGGTATCGTCTCATTTGGGATATGGATGTCATCTACCGCTTCCTTTTGAAACTTGAAACCATTGCAATCAATCTCTGTATATAATCAACATATTGTTTACCTTCTATTCATATTACGTTAATGGTAAGGTGCTGTTTTAAGAGCATCCGAAATGGAGTAAAACAGCACCTGAAATGGAGAGGTTCGTGTTGAGTTTTACAAGAACCTCGTTATTGGGATAGGGGTTCTTGTCTAATCACATGTTCTTATTAAAAATCGGGTGCATGAACAAGAAGTTAAGTTCTTGTATACGTTCCTTTTTTTCTTATTTTTTATTTGTTACTTTCATTATTTTTTAATAAATCAAAACATAAAACTTAAACTTGGTACAAAAAATTATAAATTAATTATTACAAAATAAAGTTTTTGATTTTGTTTTATTTTTTGTTTCTTTTAAATTTTTATACAAGTTTTTATATTAATAAGTTTAATTTTTAATTATCTTATTCTTTATCATTTAGTCTTACTTTTTATAAAGATCAATATGTATGTAATTTTGCATTTTTTTTCGATTATAGTATAAAATTAATTTTATCTTTTTTTATTGTTTTTCAAATATGGTAAGAAAATATGTAAATTAACAAATAAAAATTATTTAATATAGAAAAGTGAAAATTAGTAAATTGTATTTGAATTTTTTATAATTAGTATAATATATACATATTAAGTTTATATAATAATATATAAATAAAATTTTATTTTATGAATTAAAAAATGGGAAGTGAGTTTTTTTTTAAGAATCTTTATTGTAGATTCTATTAATTTGTGGAAATGACAATAACGTGGTATGGAAAAATATGGCAAGTGAGGTTTTTAGAAGTTCCACTATTATAGATGCTCTAATTGTTTTAGCGAATTATTTGCTCGACACCCATGTTTGTTTACGGATTAATCAATATGTCGATTAAGAAAAAAAAAAGATTGAGAGAATTGAACATTTTTTTGGTTGAAATTTGGCTTCATAAAGTTGTTTAAACCATTCTTCAAAAGGAGAAATGGCATATATACGTGGTCTTCAACAAAATCTTTGAAATAAAACGGATTTTTACATTTTCTTTTTATTTTAAATAGATTATTATTGAGCGTATTTGTATAAAATTGCATCTAAATTAATAGTGTTACTTTTTAAAATATGAGATACCATATTCAGAGGTTTTAAAGCGTGGAAAGGAGACCGTGAAATTCTTCAAATTTAAAAAATATATAAAATTGATTTTTTATTACTTTTTTTATAAGAATGCTTGAAATTAAATGTTTAGAAAAAAAGAAAAAATAATATTTTATTAAATATATAAATATAAAGGGATGTAAATCTTTTTTTCATCTTTAATTCTCTCTTTTAAATATTTTTAGTATATAACCTATTGACTATAATTAAGGTCAGGAACATGAGAATCTTGATCGGAGACATGAATTATACCTAGTGATTTGTTGTAAAGAGGTTTGTGTTTCCCTTCAGAAAATATCAAATTGCATAAAATGTATTATAGATGTTGGAAGTTTTATTAATTTGTTTTTGCCTACCTTATGCGGACTGATAATATGACTAAAACCAAGAAACTTACCCAAAAATAAATAAAACAAAGACCAAAAATCTTATCTTGTAAAACAAGGGAGTCAAATCTTACTTGATTAGATACACTCATCAACAATTTATTATAATGATCGAGAATATATCCCGATAACGTAAGTGAGGGCAAGAGATCAAAAGAATGATAAATTGGTAACAACACGAAGGTTAATTTATTTATTATGATTCATTGAGAATACATAGAGAGAGAGAGATTAATTTGTGTTATTGGAATTGGTGGCAGGTGGGTTGGTTGGATCATGCTTGTGGTTGGCACCTGGATCATCGTAGTCCATGACAAGCGGTGAAGGCTTCCTTGAGAGTATCTTCACACTAACACCATCCTCATCCTGGGGGATGATCACGTTACCTGCACTACAATTGATGAGCAGCAGCAGCAGCATGATGATGGAAATTAGCAGAGAACCACCGCTTCTAGACATGTTTGCTTTGCTGGTAACACCTATCAATGGAAATTGAAGCTCCACCTATATATATATATATATATATATATATATATATATATATATGATATAATATCAAGGATACAATATTTATTCCATTTTCATACCTACATTCACTCATTCATTTAATTTCTCTTTCAATTCCAATATAAATATCTTTCTTTTTATTTTTTATATAAATAGAGGCACGGTCAAATGAAAATTTTGACCGTATAATTTTTAGAAACCGTGTAAATTAATTTCGATCAATAGGAAAATTCAATTTTTTTTAATTAACTTTAATTATTAAGGGTATATTTGTCATTTGCATTGATTTCTATTAAATATGGAAGTTAATAATAAATCTTAATTAAGGTAACATAATAATTAAAGAAAATTTTATAAATAATAATATTTAAAAATTTAATTAAATTATAATATTAAAAATTGGATTTATTTATATTGTGTCTCGGTTTATTATTGCCAAGATTCATGAAAATCGAAGATATTAGATTTAATAAATTCACAAAATCAGTAATAGAATCAAAAAAAATATTCATGAAACCGGTTTTCATACATAGTAAAATTGGTATATGGAGTAAATGAAAATGATTATGAAATTTGTGCATGATGAAATGGGTGGTGCATGAAATGGGTGCATGATAAATAGGGTGCATGATGATATAGGTGCTGTAAATTCATTATCAATAACGTGAAATGACAAATGACTCATCAAACCATGCTGGCCGATGTAATGGGTGATTGAAGAAAGTGAAACCATTTCATGGTTTCTAGGGGTGCACAAAAAACCGTCAACCCACAAAACCCGCCCAACCCAATCCGTTAACAACCCAATTATAAATCCAACCCGCCTAACCGCCAAACCGTCCACCCGCCAAACCGCTAACCGCCAATTAGGAGGGTTGAAATTGGGTTGGGCCTAACTCAACCCGCCCAATCCACCAAAACGCCGCTAATATATAATTTTTATAAAATTTTATATATATATATATATATATATATATATATCTATACTATATTATAAAGCATTTGGCTAAAACTCTTAAAAACTCTTAAAACTCTTCAAAACTCTTAAATCCGTTCATCCCTATCCGATTTCATCCCATATCTAAATTCGTGTAACTAATTGCAGATAAACAAATCAAATACATGATAAATATCTCATTTTAAATATAAAAAATCTAAAATATAATTAG